TCCTTCCAGTACCATATGGTCTTGATTGCTGCAGCTTTATAGCAGGTCTTGAAGTTGAATAGCATCAGTCCTCTGACTCTGTTCTTTTTCTTTAGTGTTGTACTGGCTATTCTATATCTTTTGTCTCTCCATATAAACTTTAAATCAGTTTGTTAATATCTACACAATATTTTGCTGATATTTTGATTGGGATTGCATTGAATCTATAGATAAAGTTTGGAAGAACTGACATCTTGACATGATGCATGAGGCTTCCTATTCATGAACATGGACTACCTCTTCATTTATTTAGTTTTTCTTTAGTCTCTTTCATCAGAGTTTTAAAGTTTTCCTCATGTAAATCTTGTACATATTTTGTTGGGTTTCCATTTAATTATTTCACGTTATGGGGTACTAACGTAAATGGTATTATGTTTTTAATTTCAAATTCTAGTTGTTAATGCTGGTAACAGCATTACCATAGAGGTACGTGATTGAGTGAAAAAAATTTTTTTACCCTCACTCAAGAACCCTTTTTTTTCACTGCTTATAGAGAAAGAGAAGAATGGAGAGAGGAAAGGAGAGAGAGAAATATCGATTGGTTGCCTCCCGTAGGCACCCGGATCAGGGATTGAACCCGCGACCTGGGTATGTGCCCTAATCCAGAATTGAATCTACAAGTCTTCGGTTACAGGGTGATGCTCCAACCACCAACTGAGCCACACTGGCCAGGGTAATTGACGTCTGTATATTAACCTTGTTACAGTATCCTGAAACCTTGCGATAATCATTGGTTATGGGGCGGGGGGGGTTGTTTTGTTTTGTTTTTGCATTTCTTTTGGATTTTCTACATGGACAATCATTCCATCTACAAACAATGGTAGTTTTACTTCCTTCTTATCAATTTTGTACCTTTTATTCCTTTTTTTGTCTCATTGCATCAGCTATGACTTCCAGTATAATGTTTAAAAGGAGGGGTGAGAGAGGACATTCCTACCTTGTTCCTGATTTAACAGGAAGGCTTGAGTTTCTTACTATTCTTATGTTAGCTGTACGTTTTTGTAGTTGTTCTTTATTAAATTGAGGAAATTCCCTTCCATTGCTAGTCTGCTGAGTTTTTAAAAATCACAAATGAGTGTTCGATTTTATAAAATGCTTTTTCTGTGTCTATTGATATGGTAATGTGATTTTTCTTCTTCAGCCTGTTGTAGCTTTTAGTATAATTTCTTCCTCTAATGTTTGGTAGAATTCACCAGTGAACCCATATGAGCCTTGTACTTTCTGTTTTGCGAGGTTATTTATTATTGATTCAATTTGTTTACTACATGTAGGCCGATTCAGACTGTCTGTGCGTTTTGGCGGATTGAGTCTGTGCCGCTCCCAGCCAGTGACGCTGATGCTCTCAGTTAGGAATGCCTGAGGCACTTCTCTAAGCCTGCCCATATTCCTCATAATAAGCCCCCACAAACATTTCTCCCCCTGGGACCAATGTTGTGGCTGGACTGGCCCTGGAGGTCTTATGGTCACAGGATGCAGTTCAGCAAAAACCAACCAGGAATTTTAAGAAATAAGAATTATTATTCACCATTCCTGGAATGTGCATGGAATACCCACAGGCCACACAGCAAGGTCACAGGTAAAGAGAGAGAGTGTGGACCTGGGGCTCTGCCTTTACTAGGTTCCAAAGGTGGGGTATCAGCCCGGGGGTCAGAGGTGACAGCCATGTTGTTGAGCAGAGCCACAGGGGTACACTGTGTGAGCTGTGAGCGATGACATTTCAGAAGCATTTTGACATCTGTGCTGCCAGCCAGGGGCTGAACAGGAGAGTGATATGCAAAGAGTTCCAGGGAGCAGGATGTCCAAAGGCCAAGGCACCCGAGCAGCCGCCCGTCCCGCAGAACCCGTTCCCTCTGCCTCGCCCCTCCATCAGCCTCACCCGCACGCTCCTGAAATACGTGCCGCTGCTTGTTTTCTTGAAGAGCCATCTGCGTGTGCCCAGCGGGGTCTCAGCCTCACCTGGGGCGGCACCCCCACTGAGCTCACACCTGGCTCCTGGCACGGAGGCCTCCTGCCCTCATCCCTGGAGGCGGGCCTCAGTCTGTGCCTCAAAAGGTGCAGGAAACGTTGTGTTCAAAGCACATTCAGTTGCTGTCTCCATGACTGTACCCTGAAGAATCCTCACCCACAGGGGACGTGTCCCGCGCACTGCTGCCTCCCTCCTTGACCAGGCTTTGCCTGCACCGTCCAGCACACCGGGCAGTCGCGTTCCGGGAAGACCTGGCTCCAGGGCCCCCGGGCCCTCTGCTTTGTTCACTTCTCTTATCTGTCTCCCTGACGCAGGTGAGCCACACCCCTGCAGGGCCCTGATTCTTCTCAGGCTGGGGTATTGTCGGGAACGCCCTTCCCGCCCACGTCTCCACTGACCTCTAACCAGCTACAAGTCCAGCCCGTATGCCTCTCCCAAGGGGCCTTGCAGACCACAGTGAGCATTTAACTTCTCCTGCCTGCTCCCTGGCTCGCCCAGCCTGCCCTGTTTTGACTTCTGAGTCTCTTCTGCCCCATTCATTTGTCTGTCTGCTACACCAGATCATGGATTCCTAGAGGCAGTGACCATCTCCTTCACTTCTACACACACCTCGCCTCTGCTCTGCGTATAACTGATGATGCATCAATGTTTGTGTCTGTTGCTTAAACAAACTGAGGCAAGTTTCTTTCCTAACCAACCTCCCATGAAAGATTTGCTACGATAGCTGATACTCGCATCTTAATCTTCTACTGTGTAATTACATAGCTATCTGGTATTTGACATTCTCCTTTTTGATTCCTTTAGGCCTGAATAAAATTCCATGACACATGCATTGCGATGCTTTAAGCTGTGTGAACTGGGGGAGCTGGTTCACTGCAAGCCTGCTCTCTGCACCCTCGGCAAAGCTTTCGGACACCAAGGAAAAGGGTGGCCCTGCCTGTCAGAAATTTAGGAGGCGGGATTCACAGACCCATGAGACAAGGAACACTGCACGTGGGTGCCCACAGGTGGAAGCACATGTGACACATGGGGGGGACTTGTGGCGGGAACAGCTGGGGTATGGGGTGGTTGTGGAAGTTTCAGGTTAGAGCTCCAGATGTGACACCTGACCACCCGGATGAAGTGCACGGGGGGGACGCCTGACACAAGGCACTCACGGCCAGCCTGTACTGCTCTGGCTTTTGTTGGTGTTCAGGTGGTCAACACATCCGTCTCCCAATGTGTCGTTAGAATTCCCGGGACTGGAAGCTCAATTCTTCAAGCAAGTCCATCTCATGGAAATGGGCTCAAACCTTTAGACACCAATTTTTAAGTTCAAGATGATGATGTCATTACTGGGCTGGTCAGCAAGCACGTTTCTCCTCTGGCAGACGTATCTATAATAGGACTCACCCTGCCCGTTCCAGCCACGCACTAACAACACATAAGCACAGGGGAGGTGCTGACAGGGGGCAGGCCTGTGAGGGTTGGGGGGACGGTGCTGGCCCCTGGAAGGCGGATGGTCTGCAGCATTCACGTGCAGGGGTCTGAAGGGACGGAGACGAGCACTGTGAGCCTTCTGCGGGTCTGGACCAGGAGGGGAGAGTGAGGACGGGGTGAGAGAGGGCTTTGGGAGTTCAGCGTCGGGCCGTCTGGAGCAAGTTTACAGATGCATAAGGCACAGAGAGGTGCAGGAGACACAGGTGAGTAAAAGGCAAAGAAGCCAAGTCCTGGGGCTGGAGGAAGGTGGGCCTAGGTGGGTGGATAAGGGGGGCAGCCCCAGGGAGCCATTGAGGAGGAAGGGTAGGACGTGGTGGGGAGGCAGGTGAGGAGGGTGGGCACAGTGGGGCGAAAGTGGAGCTATCCATGACGTCCAGGTGTCCTGACGGCCCAGGACTCCCCGAGGAGCAGCCTCCATAGGCAGTGGTCTTCTAAAGGCATTTCCTCTTGTCATTGATTGTGTATCTTTATTTACTTGATTTTCACAGAATGGTATGAACTCCATGTTTTGTTGAAAACTTGATGTCAGCGCATAGAATAGGTTTTATTCAGTTTGACAACATGTAATGAGCTTCTGGCTCTTTTGTGCGTGCTGGAGATATAACACAAAGTAAAATGGATCCCGGAGGCTGTCATTGTGTCATGTTACAGATGGGACGAGGAGGCCTCAGCATCATCAGATGAGCAGGCCAAGCCCAGGGTGCCCAGCACACTGCTGTGTGTAGACAACCAATGGTTTGAATGGAATGGCACCAGACCATCTGTATAATTTAGAAGTGAATAAAACCAGTGTTATTTTCTAAAAATAAGTACACGCTTATATTATTTTTCCATTGACTTCAGACTAAATGTAATTTGCTTCATTTTAAAGTGTCTTATTTTATATTACTACAATCCATAATTTATATCTGCAGCACATAATTATACCTAACATGTCTGTCCAAGTATTTTGATCAAATTTGTAAGCTCTTAAAGCCACTATGTATAGGAAAACACTGGTTTAAAGTACCCCTTAGGGAAATCTTTATAAGGATCTGATCTTCATCTGTGTGGTTTTCTAAAATGGGGCATGTGATCACAAAAATACACTTTTAAAATTAAAAGTTAAAACTTAGGCTTTCCAAATAGCACTGCATTAATTTGGTCTCTTGGAAAATAGTATAGTAATATACAAATCATCTTAACAAAAACATTTGATAAAGATTAGTAAAACAAAAATCTTATTTAAAATATTTTTTTACCCTGGCCAGATGCTTAGCTAGTTGGAGCATCGTCCTGTACACCAAAAGGGTGCAGGTTCAATCCCCAGTCAGGGCACGTACCTAGATTGCAGGTTCAGTCCCTGGTCAGGGTGTATATGGGAGGCAACCGATCAATGTTTCTCTCTCACATTGATATTTCTTTCTTTCTGTTTGTCTCTCTCTCCTTTCCTCTGTCTCTAAGATCACTAAACACACCCTCAGGAGGATTACAGAAATATAATTTTTTCAATAAGTTTCGGGTATATTCTCATCATAAAGAATCTTTTATTTAAAAAATGTGAAAACCAAGTATTTTTAAAGAATTATTTACCTAATACAATTGACATGAAAGTGTTTTATTTAAAATTGTTATAATAAACAAATAGATATTTAGAAGATATTTATATCATTTTAGAAAACATAGGCTTTAAGGATTAAAAGTAATTTTCCAAACTCATTGCAAGAATTAAAATTTCATATCACAGAAATGCTTAATAACAAATATCAACCAACAGATTACAACACTAAAGTTGTACAATAAATTAAAAAGCTTTCTAATTTTTTTCCAAAAAATCATGAAATGATGAAATAACCATAAAAAGTTAACATTAATTTCAGAAAAAAAGGCACATCCAGGCAAAATAGTCAAGGCGATTTGTAAAATGCAGCGTTATGTTTATACTGTGCGTGATCAATTGAATGCAATAAATTATTCTGGAAGATTCTAAAATATGGCAGTAATAGTTTGTAAAGATGGACAAATAAGACACCCCCCTGCTGAATAGCGTATTTTGTTCCCCAAAGTGCAGTTCCAGAACTGTCCAACATTCTGCTTCCCTGCACGGAGGTTTTGCTTTGCAAACTTGCTGATCATCTTGGAGCCTTCAGAGGCTTGACCGTCGGTCTGGTCGTGGCACACACTTTGTAATTGCGGCTCTCCACAGCACCGGGGCCAGTAAAAGGCTGAGCGTGGTCACACTCAGGATTAGGAGGTACACCTGCAACAGGGAGAACTCAGTGTCATTTCAGGATTAGAAGGTGCACCTTCAACAAGTAAGGTTGGGTACAGTCTCAGGATTGCTACACCCACTTCAAACAACAGGTACGTCCCACACAGACACAGGTACCTCGACATCTGGATGTGAGGTGGGCTGAGATTTGACCATCATTGGAAACTGTCATCAGATCTTTGTATCACTGGTTCACACACTGGAGCCTGTGTGATCCAGGGACACCACTTGGGCTCACTAGGCAGTCAGACTGACCCCTTGGCGGTCACCTACAGCGAGGGTACAGACTCAGGGCAGGTCTCAGACGGAGCTCTGCACAAATTCCATTCTTCAGCAATGTTTGAGGTGCGCTTTGATATGCAGATTTACACCTTCCTCACACTTATGGATACAAGGAGACAACCACTTAATTTTGAATGCTTACCAGCATTTCACATGTACCAATAACAACTTTTGTATTCACTCAATCCACATTATTAGGCAGCAGGTGTGCAGAACCTAATATTCAAAATGTCACTTGGCAGGGTGGGTGTTATTGACAACATCACAACTTAGGGAGGGATGCCGTAAGGTGGGGCAGTCAGGGGGCCCTCTCACTGTGGTCCCTGCCACAAGGAAGGGAAGGAGAACGGGGCAAACCCCTGCCCTGGCTCCAGGGGTCAGGCCCAGAAGTGCAACTGTCCTTACGCAGAAACCAAAGAAGCAAAAAGCAAGGACTATAGGTTCAAAAATCATTTTAAATAGAAGTTACTATTCAGGAACTTGTATGTCTCCAAATCCATGATTTAAGAACATCCTGAAGTTAACAGCTTCTACCCTAGGAAATATACAGCTGATTCCCACAGCTTACGAGTGTGCAAAGAACGCAGTTTTCTAACCCTGGCACACATGCTATTTCTTAGTGAAACAACAGATCAAATGCAGGAAGTTCAGATTTCTACACTATTACCCAACATTTTATGCACTTAACAACAAAAAAGTTCCCTTTAATCTCATTTTCACTGAAACAGTAATGCTCTAATTTTAGTTACCAAATGCTTTTCTTAGTTACAGCATCGACTGGCCCTGAGATCATTCAGGGCTAATACTCAGCTCAGTATTCTGGTCCTGGAAGAATATTCAGGCTTTAGATATTGAACTTTTAACATTGGGGAGCAACAGACTGTGGCATATGTACCCCTGGGGTCGCGACCTCACATCCCCACACCCCACACCCCACACCCCACAGCCAAGCACAAAACCCGCTTCTTATCAAACTTAGTGACAATCACGGATCATCAAACGATGCTCATCAAGTTCTAGTTCATAGTTAAAAAAGGGCAAACAATAAAGTTAAAAGAAGCAGAAACGGACAAAATGGCAGAAGAAAACACGTAAGTGCAAAACAGGGTGGACACACTCAACTGCACGCACACACACAACTGCACATGATGCTCGAACATCAGCTAAAGGAGTACGAGAGAGGACAGTGACAAAGCACCTGCCTGATCGGAAACACTCACAGGAAGTGGGTGGACACTCACCTCCCGAGAAATAATGCCCGCTCGGCGCGCTCTGCTCCCCAGGACGAAGGAGAACTCGCTGACCTGGGCCAGCCCTGCGGCCACGATCCACTTGATATACTGGCTGGTTTTCGGCAAGAGGAGCGACAAGACCAGTGCTGCCAGAACAAACTGCAAGAGCGACCCCGTGTTACTGCTTAACCAGAGCCCGAACAGCCAAGCACACATAGAACAGAGAGGGACACATCAACGCTGGGACAGCCTTCAAGGAACACACAGAGGGAACATACAGAGAGGCACTTCCACGCAGAAAGCACCAAATAAACACAAAACATCTGAAATAAAACCACACAGAATACCAAGGCAAAATCAAGGGTTTAGGTTCAGCTGCAGAAAACAAGGCTTTCCCTCTCAAACTAAATCAACAGTATTAAATGTTATATAGCATTCAAATGAAAATTTTATCTTTAATAAGAGAGAAATGTACAATGTGTCTCTCTCATGTAGGGCAGCTAGACAATCATCAGAGATTCTGGCTCCGTCACGTGGAAATATTTTAAGTCAATTTTTATAATCCACAAAGCCAGAGTGCTACAGAACAGGTTAAGACATTAGAAGTTAACACAGGCACCTCAGTAACTTGCGGTCATAGAGAACAGACAACCGGAGAGTGGCAAAATAATTCTCAGTACCCATGAAAACGTATGTCTGCAGGCATCACAAGAATAAGGCTTTGTGGTTCTTCAGACTCATTTAGCGTTAAAGTCAAATCACAGTGAAAGGACGTCTCTGGAGGATCCAGAAAGCTGTTTCGCCCATTCCACCTTTTTAACTCTCCATTTTAAACACACTCAATTCTGAAACAAAGGAAAACAAACCCAAACCAGCCCTATCCTAACTCAGACCTGCCCCCAGGCGGTGCTGCGTGGCAGGCTGTGGGGGTACGGCGCCACAGACCCGTGTTCCAGGTAAACGCTGTTCCTGGGAGCTCACAGACCCAGCAGAACTATGGGTAGGAAGTCTGGCCGAGGAGGAAGTAATGCGCACACGTAAAACCAAAACAATATGAATTTTACCAATCACGAACCACGGAAAGGATGCATACCTTCATGATGACCACCGACAACGTGAGGACCATCAGGATGGTGAGCTCATACACCACAAAGGTGGGAAACACGTGAAGGCCTGTCGGGAAGAGGACAGACACGGTAATTCTTTCAGGATCACACATTCCGTCGCCCACCTGCTCCAGGGAAAGCTGCCTAGGCTCTGGGCTCTGGGATTGGGGCTTTGGGCTCCCGGCTCCAGGGGCCTGGGTGCCCAGCATCATCCTCCGCTAGACTTTGCCCCCAGGACAGAGCGAAGCATGAGAGCAAGCAGCTGCTAAATCTAATTTTCCTTTCTGTAAGTATTCTGACCAAGAGGCAAATGACTCATGGACTCTGAAGACAAGGAAGTGCACCATACACAGGAGGGGAAGGCGGACGGTCCACACCTCAAGGCTGAGAAGCCCGGTGGCTCGCTGGCGCCAGAGTCTGGCTGGGTCTCCCCAGCCTGCTCTCATGCCCTGTATGAACAGCACCATGGAGTGTGAGGGATCACTCCGTCCCTCACTGTCACAGCAAGTGCCTGGCCCAGGACCACTAGTGGGACACTCAGCGCATGGACCAGATGACAGAGGCCTTCTGCTCTGAGGGGAGAGGCTGTTCACGTGCGTGACTTCGGCAGTGAGCAGAGCACTGTGCACAGAGCAATGATGGCACCAGACTGATTGGAGCCGGTATTTAGGGACAATAACTAAACAGAGAAAAAGAGGACTCTGTGTCTCTCCATGTCATACAATGTCTCTGCCACATAGAACTTGGAGAGGAGGGCAAACAAGCTATGTTACAGTTTTTCTACTTAAAGCCATCCATCTTTGCAAGAAATACAAAATGTATATTTGGGGTAGCCCAACAGTAAATAGTACAGATTCTGGGCTAAAATCTTGGGTCTACCATTAACCAACCGTGGATGCTGGCTTGCCTCTTAACCTCTCTCTGCCTCAGTTTCCTCATCTGTAGTTGTGGATTTGGGGGGGTGACCGAATACAACATGACATGCCAAGCAGATACCTGGCCCAGGCAGTACCTGTGTTAACAAACACTTGCTCTCATGGTCACTGTGCACATGCACTTGGCTCACAGACACTGAAGTGGGGAAGGATCCGGGGCTGCAAGGTTCTAGGTAACATCCGGCACGTGACAGCTCCCTCCAGGGCACCTCTATGAATGACAGCTGGCGGTGCTCTTCCTGCAGCATGGGAAGTCCTCCTTCCCCCGGGCCTAAAAACTGCCCTTTGTTGCCACGTTCAAAGGTGGCCTCTCCTCAAAAGCACAGCTGGAATCCCTCGGCCCACCCACTTGGTGGTGGTGGTGACCCCACGACCCACTCTTCTCTCCCAGAACCAACTGTGACGCATGGGTCCTGGATACAGCCACGGGGTCCAGGTCGCCTTTGCGGTTCTGACAGGGCTGGAGGTCAATGAATGTTTGCTAAAAACGGGGACCCCACCACTTAGTTACACATCACTGAGGTCTAAATATGCAGAAAAGTAAAGCTGTCTTCTTAAACAGATGGCCTTAACTTGTTGCTTAGAAACCTGGGACAAAAAAATCGTGTCCCTGAGCAGTTAGAGAATAAAAACCTAACTGTACACACGTTTCTCAGTTGGCAGGGAAGTTAATTTGAATTCCCTTTGAAATACTGAGTGTAAATAGCCAAAGCAAAAACATGTACGATTGCTATTGTTAGAAAGCATGGTTCTTAATAAATCAAGAACCCTAATTTGAGAAATTAAAGCAAACATATCTTTTAAATAACATATTTATGGAATTTCAGTTTTTTCAGAAGCGAACATTCCATGAGGCCCTAGCAGGCAGGACACAGAGTGACCACATCAGTCAGGGTGCCTGGGGGTCTCGGGAATGGAACGCAGGACTGGAAGGTGGTAAGAATAGGGTTACAACTTAATCGATTTTATTAGACCTTGTCTGGAAAAGAACTGACAGAAAAGAAGTGAATCATCAACCTGGAATGGAAGTTCAAGGAATCAGAACTGGCAGAGCTTATTTAGCATTTTGAGGAGGTGTTACCAGTAGTGGAGGTGGGGATGGCGGGGAAGGAAGGGGCAGAAGAGAGGGGGGTCAAGGACAGAGGGCGAAGGGAGAAGGGGGGACAGAGAAAGACACACACACAGCCATGGGGGGAGAGGTTGAGGGGAGAAGGGGACTGAGAGGAAGAGGCAAATACCTGTCAACAGGGTTTTCTCATGGACACAAGACATCTAATTACTAAAGTTGCGCGTGAATGATCTTATTTCACTTAAAGTACCACCTTCCCACTGTGTGGTCCTCTTTGAGAACTGCCTTGGCTACCCAGAACCTTTCACATTTCCATTTAAATATTAGAATCTGCTTTTCCATGTCCTCAAAGCTTTGCTGGGCTCACAGAGGCCCCGCTGGCCAGCGCGGAGTGCGCGGGCTGTCCAGGCAGTTGGGAGGGCGCGGACAAGGAGGGCCAAGGGTATGCAGTGACAGACGGCGGCTGCGGTCCCGCTGCCGCCTGCGCCTCTCCGGGGCTGCCCTCGCAAGACACCCCGACAAAGGGAGCTCTCTGGAGCAGCATGTGATGCGGTCAGCTTACTTATTTTTAAATCAAAATTAGTATTTCCTCCCAAACGTCCCACCTTGATGCACTGATTTTAAGCTGCTAACCTTACGAGCACCAGGGCCTTTCCCTACGGCGTCAGAGTGAGAGTTTCACCCTCCCCTGAGGGTGTCGGAACCTTTTTGATGCCCACTGACAAGCGCATCTTAGCACTGACAGAGCATGACAACCAATCGACGAATTAACGTCCCTTAGGTCAAACTTTCTCTCTTTTTATTTTTGTATTTATTTATGTATTTTTTAATCCTTACCCAAGGACATGCTTTTTGATTTGAGAGAGAAAGAGGAAGGGGGGGAGGGAGGGAGAGAAAGAGTGAGAGAGTGGGAGAGAAAGAGAGAAAGAAACATCAATGTGAGAAACATCCATCAGGTGCCTCCCACATGCGCCTTCAGTATCGGGAATCGAACCCACAACCTAGGTATGTGCCCTGGCTGGGGATCAAACCCACAACCTTTTGGTGTAAGGGACGATGATCCAACCAACTGAATAGGGTCAAACCTTCCCTATTTTTAAATAAGATTTCCACTCAGGCTCTATCTAATTTTTATGGAAACTGTTTTCATTGTAAAGTCTATAAATAAAAATATGTATATACAGGGATTATAGGAATAATCTACAAGTGTTCAACAAATACAATTCAAACATTATGACGTAAAGAAGAAAGTTACCTATGGATGCGAAAAAAATGATAGCCAGGAAGTCTCGAATAGGCTCGATGTAAGACACGATCTCCTCGGTGACCATGTGGCCTTGGGAAGAGATGAGCGCTCCGGCCAGGAAGCAGCCCAGCTCCATGGAGATGTCTAACAGCTCTGTGACCTGGGGAAGAGGGAAGGACCACGTGTTGCACACACACTGCACTGGTTACTAACAGCTTCTGCCAAAGTAGGATTCACACCCAAAGACAGCCTGTTAGATCTAGCAGAAGCATCACGATAAAACTGTGAAAACCAGACCTCACTGCACACCTGCGATATCCCCAGGGGGGCCTCTGTGGGGAGGACCTGAGAGACAACACGTGGACGCTAGGATTGGGTGAACTAACCATACAGGGCGAACAAAATTAATTTAAAATATGTGAAACAATAATTCATGCAGACTGCTATACAATTTTTGAATGAGTACTTTCCAAATTTTATTTTAAATATTTGTGATACGTTTTCTTTATCTTGAGACAATGAATGGCCTGGCTGTGGCTTAAAAATTATATTGTATAAAAAAATTATTCCCATCACCCATTCAAACCACTTAGAGAACGCAGACACCGCTGATGAGCAGTTGCCTGGAGGTGGCAGGACACCAGAGGGAAGAACCAAGAAATCTGAAAATGACTAGTTCAATAATGCCAGATTCGGAGAGGGGAGGTATGCGTTCATCAGGTTTCTAGCTATATACTTGTTAAATGCAAAGCTTCAGACTTCCTGTTGCATCCTTACTAATGCAAAACAACTGGAAAGAAGTAGATTTTTTTTAACTTGAGAGGGTAAGACTACAGACAATAGCAGCAACTGACAAACAGAAAAAATGAACTTTTGAAGAAATACCATTTACAATAACATCAAAACTCAATGGACATCTAGGAATAAATACGAAAAGAAGCTCACGAGCTTCACACCAAACATTAGAAAACACTGCTGAGAAACAGAAGTGTGCACCTCAGTAAACAGGAGGTGCAGGTGACACCCAGGGAAGGAGGCTTGGGGTCACGAAAATGTCAGCTTTCCTCCAACTGGCCTGCAGATTCACTGGAACTGCAACAAAACTGTCATGTGTGAAAATTGACAAATTGAACCCCAAAACTTAACCTGGACACTGGAAAGACCACAAATATAGCCAAGACAACCAATCCTGACAGAGAAGGAAGCTCGGCCTTACGCTGCCAGGTGTAAGAGCAGGTGCGCTGACCAAGGGAACAGAGCGGAGGGTCAAGAACACATGCCCTCACACAAGCACTCACGTGGCCTCCTAGTTTTTGACAAGGTGACCCTGCACAACAGTGGAAGAGGGGTCTTTCAGTGCATGGTGCAGGGAAAAGCACATGAAAAAATGAATTCTGTCCACTTCCTTACATCACGTGCTATACACACTGCCAGAAGGACCGTGGACCTAAACAAGAAAAGTAAAATAGTAACACTTCCAGAGGACCTTAGGAGCATTTTCATGATCCAGGGGTAAACAAAGATCTTTTACACAGATTATAAAAAGTGATAACCATAAAAAATTGATAACTTGACTACATTAAAGTAAAGAATTGTTGTTCATCAAAAAAATGCCATAAGCAAGTGAAAAGACAAGCCACAAACTGGAAGATAACAGCAAAAATATAGCTGACACAGAATATTATTCAGCCATAACATGGAATGAAGTACTGAAACAGGCTACAGCATGGATGAACCTTTGAAACATGCAAAGCAAAAGAAGCCAGGCACAAGAGGCCACATATTATATGATCCCATTTATATAAGGTGTCCAGAAGAGGCAACTGTGTAGGAACAGAAAGGAGACTACTGGCTACCAGGGGATGAGGGACAGACAGGACTGGGAGATAAGGGGCTTCTTTCGGGGTGACAGACACCGATTCTGAAAGTGGACAGTGCTGATGGCTGTACGGCATTGTGAATATGCCGGAAGCCACCAAACTGTACACTCGGACAGAATCTTCCCAGAACATATAAAAACTCCTAGAAACAAGTAAAACAATCAGCCCGATAGAAAAATAACCTCAAGACTTTAACAAGCGTGTCCCTAAGGAGGATGGCCACCTGGCTGACAAGCACATAGCCAAGTACTCACACTACCAGTCATCAAGGAAATGAAATCAAAACATGGACGAGGTCCTACCACCACCCAGCAGAATGGTTAAAATTACAAAGACTGACAATACAAGTGTTGGCGGGGATACAGAGAAACTGAACCCTTACAGAATGCTGCGAAGGGTATAAACCAGTATTACTACTTGGGGCAAACTAGCATGGAAACTCAAGTTAAACACATGCACGCCCTCTGACCCAGCGACCTCACTCCTAGATATATGTCTACTCATCAAAAATGAAGTCACATGTCCATAAAAGAACACATATGAGAATGTGTTTAGCTGCTTTATGTATAACAGCCCTAAATGGAAACAAAGCCTAATAGCTAACAATAGAAAGGATCAATTGTGAAATACACAGTGGAATATCACATAGCTATTTGAAAGTTTAAGACAGAGTAACATATTTTGACACTAGTGGCGTTTCATTCTCACAGTAGATTTGTTTTTTAACGCAGCATTAATTTTGGCAAAGTGCTTAAGAGTGTAAGTTAAAACAGTTAAGATGGGTTTAAATCAATATTGATGGGTAGCATAATAACTGTGCATAAAATAAAAAATACAAATGAGTGTTTAAATATTTTAACTATTACTAAAATAAAAAGAGAAAGAACTGATCACAAGCTTTCAGTGAACAGATTATAAATCAGATTATATAAATAAGAGATAGTTTGAGAATTACCGTTAACATTAAAAAGATGAAAGCAGAGATTCCTAAGATAAGGATTTCTTTGTTCCCTTTGCTTTCCAAGTGCAGCTTTCGATAGTATGGTCCTATGAGATAAGTCTTTATAACAAGACATAACAGAAAAACAGCAGCTAGCGAAAAAAGAATCTGACCAATCAAAGCCAGTATTCGTAGTATTTCCATGAAAATGCTAGGGAAGAAAGAAAAAAGACATGTTATTTCACATCCAAACATAATTCTCTAAAACCCAATAAAATGATATTCATTCCTTTTTGTTTATTTAACATGTTGCAAAATAAATGACCCAAGTTACATACATTTTTATTTCCAAGTATTAACATAAAGCCTATCAATTATATTAATCTCAGGAATTTTTATTTAAATCAAATACAGAAGCTGGATTATTTTTACAATGAATACTTTGGAGCAAATACATTTTATAGGATGTAATGAATCTTGACTGACAACTTGTATATCTAAGTCAATGACAGATAATAAAACTTCTTCTCAGAAATTAACCCCCATTTGAAATTCTTCCTAAGACAACAGCCACGCTGTAATACTACACTGCAGGCTCACCATCAGAAGTATAACTAACCAACGCCCGTGACTTTCAGCAGAGCATTTCCTTATCCCAAGCCAGAACTCTGAATTTTATGTCTATTATTGAATCATAAAGAAAAGGATTCTGTACTAAGCTCATTTTACAATATGCTATTCCAGCAATTTTCAACCATTTTCATCCCATGGCACACAAAAACTAATTACTAAAATTCTGCATCACACCAAAATAAATATATTATTTTTTGCCAATTTGACCAAAAAAAAATGGGTATAATTTTGATTCATTCATATTGGACGGCTATTGTGTTGGCTGTTGTCATGTTTTTTTTGACAATCTAAGGGAAAAGAGGTCAGTGCCCCTCACTAAACAGTCCGTATTGCATGTTTCAAAAATTCTTGCAACATGCTGGTTGAAAATTGCTGTGCTATTCAGATCTCAAATATATTATTAAGATTTCAGACAAAAGACTTTCACAAGACAGGCTCTATTATATATTTGCACCATTTATAATAATACAGACATTTTCTTAACTTAGCTCTCCACCATATATAGCAAACCACTCAGTCCAAAATTCTGGTTTAAAAGTTCTCAATGAAAGAACACAAATCTGATTCTGGTAGGCCCCCTCCTCAATCCGTGGTTTTGCTTTACCTGTTTCAGTTACCCATGGTAAACAATGGCCCAAAAATATTACATGGAAAATTCCAAGAAAGACCAATTCACACGTTTTACATTGTGCGCTGTTTTGAGTAGCGTTGTGAAATCTCCCACGGTCCTGCTCTGTCCCACCCGGTACGCGAATCACCCCTTTGTCCCGTGTACCCACACTGTATATGCTGCCTGTCAGCCACTTAGCGGCTGTCTCGGTTATCAGATTCACTGTCACGTATTGCAGTGCTTGTTTCAAATAACTGTTATTTTACTGAATCGTGGTCCCGAAGCACAAGAGTAGTGATGCTGGCAATTCAGATATGCCAAAGAGAAGCCGTAAAGTGCTTCCTTTAAGTAAAAAGATATGTATGTATAGGAAAAAATACAGCATACATAGGGGGAGGTACTATCTGTGTTCTCTGGCATCCACCGAGGGTCTTGTATCCACAACGGATCGGGGGGACTACTGTACTAAGAGAGAACTCGCCATTGCAGGCAGGCTTAAAATAGCAGCGCAGGACACAAATCTCAAGTTGCACATGATTACTAAGGGAATTAGAACAGAGCTGGGCTTGCAGCAAAGAAGCAAAGTCATTGTGAATGACTCCACATCAGTTAATGAAGTTGGGTTTCCAGTGTGAAAAATCAGGGTCTGCAGCCCTGACAAGGGTTGAAATGTGCTCACTGCAACAAAATAAAGTAGGTTGGGTCTACCTCAAATTCCTGACCAGTAGCAGACCGCTGGACTAACTGCTCACCCCACACATCAATCAGTGCATCACAATCAAGTGCCTGACCACCCAACCTGGCCCAATCCAGCTCCAGGGCACCCCTTCCTTAGGTGCCACCATCTTCCTGCAAAACTGTGATAACCTCCCAATTTATCTCATTTATGCTCCACAGAGGCCAAAACAACATGCTGGGAACATCAATCAGATGTCCAAAGCTCCTGGACATTCAGGTCAGCCCAGACTTCTTCACCCAGCTGCACCTTCCACTCTCCCTCACCTGCAAAGTAAGCAAAAGAGAGTATGGCCGGTCGGGACACTTTGCACCCTGACCGGCCATACTCTCTCTCCAGCTACAGGGCCAGTGCACCTCACGCCCACAGCTCACTGGCTCAGCTGCGTCCCTCACAGTTCAGCCTCAAAGTCAACTACTCAGAAACCCTGCAGATCTCAAGTGGTCATCCGTTGTTTGCTGACTCATCACCCCATTGTAATTCTCCGCACAGCACTTACCTATACTAGGCATTTTCTTGTTCATTGACTTATTCATCATCCGTCACCATCATCTTTCCCAGACACCATGGCAACTCCCTGAGAATGGGACATCCTCCCCTTCGTACGGCATGCTACAAGGGTTCTAGTCTCAGTCCAGTTTTATCCAGCTGATGAAGAGATTCCTGCCACTTAAGACCTGCATTTCTCATGACAATCCTGACAGAGCAGCCCTACCAGACAAGTACTGTCACCATCCCCATCTTACGGACACGAATGTGGAGGCAAAGGCCAACCCATCAATCCAGGTAATGTGCCAGGCGTCGGGCTCCTGGGCCTGTGCTCCTGGGTGCTGCACACGGTTTGTAATCACCATGCCCAAGGCTTGCATTCAGGTCTACCTCCCAATAGTCTATTAAATGCACTGTAGTGAGGATAAAATTGTCAAACAGCTCAGAACGGTATTATTCTGCATCTTTACTTCCCCATTTACCATGTTTTGGCAAAGTATCTATGTCATTCATTCCAACGGCTGAGTAAGTATTCCCTCATGTGTCTGTGCCATCATTTCTCAGCCAGACATTTGCACTGTTCCAGGTGCTTGATGCGCTGGATGATGAGCCTCTGTGGCGTATCCATGTGCAACAGTCTACACTTGACAAGCGCTGCCAAATGGGCTGCTGGGAAGGCTGCTCCAATTCCCACTCCCAACCAAGATCCCAGAGTGCCACTCCCCAACCCTGGCCCAACCTCCCACTTCTAAGGGTTTGCAGTCTGACTGGTAAAAGAGCCACTGGTTCTTCCATTGTAAGGGGGGAGCATCTTCCATTTACTCATTTCTACATTAGCTGCTATATTGCTCACCTATTTTTTAATTGGGTTATTCAAATATTAATTTGTAGGAGATTTTGATGAAATAAGAAACTCCTCTTTCTTTAATATGTGTACAAACATATTTTTCCCTTTGTTTTTGACCTGCTCACCAAATGAGTGCAGGTACGTATGTTTGTATATATTTCTGTGTACATGTATATATATGTGTGTTGTTTATTTATTTTTAAAAGTAGAATTCTTCATTTTCTTTCTTTTTTTAATAAAGATTTTATTTATTTTTTTAGAGAAAGGAGGGAGAGAAGGAGACAAACATCGATGTGCGAGAGAAACATCGATCAGTTGCCTCTAGCATGCTCCCAACTGGGGGGCCTGACCCGCAACCCAGGCATGTGCCCTGACCAGGAATTGAACCAGCAACAAAGTCCAATTCACTGATCCACACCAGTCAGAGCTGTATGTGCATGTATTTAAACATTCAAAGTATGAAACTTTAATGCAGTAATACTTATCACTTTTCTTGTCCTTTATATGGCTTCTAGAATTTGTGTTCTGCTTAAAGCAGAAAGGTCCCCCCACCCTCGATATTACAAATTCATCCATACTTTTTCCTAGAACTTTCCTGGGTTTGGAAGATTTTAATTCTAATCATTCAAATCACTTTTTTTTTTTGAAAAATATTCTTTATCATAGTCTCTTGTTCTGCTCATTACCTGTGAAACATTGGGGGGAAAGAAATTAATTCTTTCTTTTAAGAAATATCAAGATTAATTCTGAATAAGGCTTACCAAAAAGACAAGGTTTATATTAACATTACAACTAATTTCATTTAATATTTTCACTGTAAATTTTCTCTGGTTATTAAGATTAGAAAAGAGGCTTTCCCAAATTATACAAAAACGTATGTATAGTAGAAAATAAAACTACCATAATCTGTTACCCTACTCATAGAAAATCATTAATACCTTGTAACACACTTGTTATAATTTGCCCTGCCTGGTGTGGCTCAGTGGCTTGAGTGCTGGCCTGAGAACCAAAGAGTCGCTTGTTAGATTCCCTGTCAGGGCATGTGCCTGGGTTGCTGGCCAGGTCCCCAGTAAGGGGCGTGTGAGAGGCAACCACACACTGATGTTTCCCTCCCTTTCTCCCTTCCTTCCCCTCTGTCTAAAAATAAATAAATGAAATCTTTGTTAAAAAAAAGAATTAAAAAAATATACTTGTTATACATATATATAGATGCGGGCAAAAGTAGGTTTATAGTTGTGAGTTAATTCTTGGATTATTTATTAGTAATAATCATAACCTGCATGTCTTTTTCCATATGAACGAATGTTAACCTACTTTTTTCCACCCCTGTATACATATATTTCCAGTTTCTCCATTCTTTTTCTTCTTTATGTAGTTGAAACAATATTGTATATGATTTTAACAGCTCTGAGATATAATTCTCATTCCATACAATTCAGCCATTTAAAGTACAATTCAATAGTTTTCTATCATATTCAGAGTTGTGCAACCACCACCACAATCAATTTTACAACATATTTACCACCTCAAAAAGAAACTGTATCCATTAGCACTCACTCCCCATGCCTCTCTCTCCCAGCACTTGGCAACCATGGATGTCCTTTCGGTCCCTATGGACTTGCCTCTTCTGGACGTTTCATATAAATGAAATCATACAATATATGGCATTTTATGACAGGCTTCTTCCACTTAGAATAATGTCTTCAAGATTTATCCACGTTGTGGCATGTGCCGGTACATCATTTCTTTTTAGGGCTGAATACTATGCAATTGTATGGTCATAGCATATTTTATTTATCCATTCATTTAGCTGAGGGACATTTGAGTTGTTTCCACTTTTTAGCTATTATGACTAATGCGGCCATGAACAGTCATGCATAAGTTTTTATTGCAGTAAAATATTCATAACATAAAATTTACCATTTTTTAAGTGTATAATTCATGGCATTAAGGACATGCACACTGATGTGCTAACCATCGCCCCATGCACAGGTTTTTATGTTGAATAACTGGGTCATATGGTAACTCTGTTTAACCTTTTGAGAAATACTGTTTATGATTTTGACTCTTTTTTACAGCTTAACAAAATATAGAGCATTCTTCCATGTCATTAAAATCTTGGTAAACATGACATTTCATGACTCAATTGGAACAATATCAATGGGACTAACAACTATGCTGAATAAATATTTTTAATAGGGAAAATTTTAAAAAAGCCTTCAAGATTTTCTGATTGAGACAATGTCATATAGCAACAGTTTTCTCTATCTGTAACTGACAGGAAGTTTGGTAATATGAATGTCATGTTTGTGCTTTTAAGTGCTCTGTGATTCTTTGCTGAGGTTCTACTTCCTGTTTGGTAAGGAGATTCTGAGCTTTACAGGTAATAATTTGTTGTACACTTCTTGAGAACTCAAATTATTTTCAGCTAAACTTACAAATCTTCCTTTTGCTGTCCAAATATTTGTTCAATTATTTATCTTGAAAATCTGTAGCGCTCTGAATGGTGTGGCTCAGTGGGTGGAGCAACATCCTGAACACCGGTTCACTTCCCAGCCAGGGCAGTGTGCAACAGGCAGCCAACAGATGTTCCTCTCACACATCAATGTTTCACCGGTTCACTTCCCAGCCAGGGCAGTGTGCAACAGGCAGCCAACAGATGTTCTTCTCACACATCAATGTTTCACTGGTTCACTTCCCAGCCAGGGCAGTGTGCAACAGGCAGCCAACAGATGTTCCTCTCACACATCAATGTTTCACTGGTTCACTTCCCAGCCAGGGCAGTGTGCAACAGGCAGCCAACAGATGTTCCTCTCACACATCAATGTTTCACTGGTTCACTTCCCAGCCAGGGCAGTGTGCAACAGGCAGCCAACAGATGTTCCTCTCACACATCAATGTTTCTCTCCCTCTCTTTCTCCCTCCTTTCCCCTCTCTAAAAATAAATAAATAAATAAATACAATCTGGGAAGGAAGGAAGGAAGGAAATCTATAGCCAGACAAAAACAGAACTGACTCTGATTAAGACTATGACTACAAGTTTTGCTCTCCTGATAGTTAAAAAAAATTTGGATCAAGGGAAAATGACCTCGATAAATTACCTTTAATAGTTACACATACCAGAGACTGGCCTAACTGCTTTATGTGACCTTCTCCGGGAAGCCTTACACAGTGCATAAGGTAGGTCCTATTTCCACATTGTCCCCATTTTACAGGTGAGAAAATGGAAGCCCAGAAAGGTTCAGTAAGTTGCCAAAGCTGGCAAATGGCCAAGCTGGAGCTCCAGGACCTGAGCCTTAACCTCTGAAAATCTCAGTTAAGAAGGCATCCATTTTTAACATAGCTGAGTTATCTGAGAGCAGAAAGATCTTAATCATTCTGGGATTGCTGAAACTTAATATAACACCTGGCAAAGGTAAACACTGAAATATACAGAATACTTCCACCCCACCCGACTGCAACAAGGTAGGTCTGTCCATGCTTGACGTGGGTGGGGCCCAGCAGGGCGATGAACACACACACGTATACACAGTCACACACACTTTAATAGGGGACTGCTTGTTTTTTAAAAACATATGATTAATAGAATCTAGATACTCATAATATAGGAAATGTCCAGGATACTACTGAAAATCACTTTTACCAATAGTCAAGGAAACCCACAACTTGAATGAGAAAAGACAATAAACAGACTCCAACATGAAGATGAATCATTAGAATTATCTGACAAAGAGTTTAAGGCAGCCATCGCAAAGCCGATTCACAGTAATTAAAAAGTCTCTTGAAACAAATGAAAAAAACAGAAAAATCTCAGAAAAGAAATAGAAGTCATAAAAAGAAAAGCCAAATGGAAATTATACAACTCAACAATATTATAACCCAAATAAAAATCTCGCTTGTTGTAAGCTAGATAGTAGAGTGAAGGTGACAGAGGACAGAATTAGTGAACTTGAGGACAAATCAAAAAAATTTATGCGCTGACCAGTTTGGCTCAGTTGGTTGGGCATCACCAGACAGAACAGAAGACTGCTGGTTGGATTCCTGGTCAGAGCACGTGCCTGAGTTGCTGGTTCAGTCCCCAGTCAGGGGCGGGTACAAAACAGGCAACCGATTGATGTTTCTGTCTTACATGTTCTCTCCCTCTCTTTCTTTCTCCCTCCCCTTCTCTCTAAAAATAAATAAGATCTTTTAAAAAATGTACTCAGTCCAAACAGAGAAAAAATAGACTGAAAAATTAAAGAAAAAGAAAGGAAAGCCTCAGAGAGCTGTGGGACAATAACAGAAGATATTTGTATCACTGGAGTCTCAGAAGGAGAAAGTAAATGGGACTGAAAAATTATGAAGAAATAATGGCTGGAATTCTGAGATTGGGCAAGAAGCGTAAAGTCTACAGATTCAAGTAGCTTAGAAAACACCAAATGTGATAAACCCAAGGAGTATTATGGACAGAATGTTTGTATCCCTCCTAATTCATATCCAATGAGACAGTATTTGGAGGTGGGCCTTTGAGAGCTGATACAGATTAGAACAGAAGAAATAAGCAAATGAGAGAGATCTTAACATTTCAAAGTGGTTCCAAAAGAAATTTCAAAGTCTACTCATTTTTGACAAATGCTGTCATTACTGTAAGAGATAAAATGAAATGTACCTTCTGGAAATATTTAAAGCACTCTATTTATATGCACATAGTGTATTAGCTTAAGAAAGTCAAGTTTATAATCCTCTCACACATGCAATGGCACCTTATATTTTGGCAAGTGTATTTATTTTCTGGTGGGTATTCCTGTAATATATCGTATATGCAACCCAACCTACAGCTTTCTGGGTAAATTTATTTTACCCATTTGGCTTTTCTTACCATACGAACCTAAGCAAGTGCAGTTTAAGTTCCGGTATTATTTTGTTAGGAGAATGGAAAAAAGAAATCAGGAAAAATGGTGATGATGATGACATTGACCACGATAATCACCAAAAATAGTGTACGCATACACATACACACACACACACATACACACACTCTCTCTCTCTCTCTCTCTCTCTCTCACTACGTTACAGGCATTTCATCTTAACTCATTTAATTCTAACAACTCTATCAGATGCGTACTGATATTACCCCCACTTTACAGATGACAAAACTCAGGAAGAGTGGGACTAAGTAACTGCTCAGCCAAGATCCACAGAGCTAGAGTTTGAGCCTGGGCGGTATTACTCCAGAACCCACGCTCTGAAGCCTGTGCTCTACAGGTTCTGAACATATCTTTGGAAAAAGGTATTAAATAGTATTTTTACAAACAAGTGATTTCAAACTAGAAAAACTAATAAAATAAAATAAAATAAAATAAAATAAAAAATGTACCTAGCATAGGTACTGGCTCCTGCTTGGATAAGAGTTGGCATGACGGCTATGAACAACCCCAGCTGCACATCCTGCATCACCAGCATTCCGAGCAACACAGCACTGTAGTCAAGGTCACCTGCTTAAGAAAAAAAATTATTGAAAACAAACATTTACAGTATTTTAAAGTGTCCCAAGACAAAATAATGTCATCGTGCATATTTCTAAAACAATTCAAATAATTTTGATACTTTAAATGAGAATACAGACTTTAAAATTTCTTTGAAACACTGTAAAAGTTTAAAGGTGAAAAAAGTTTTTGTAAAGAAAATATCCCGAATATTTCTACTAGTTATTCGTTACTTGTATAATTACAGAAAAATGACATTATGACAAGATGGCATAGCAAACAGTATGATAGGCCTGGATAATCATACCAATTCCATGTGCCCCCAAAACACATGACGCGGCAACCTTCGCCATCAGGCTCCATCCCTTCTCTAAGCTATTCAAGCGAGACCTGGCCGCAGCCCTTTCTGGTCACATCTGCTCGGCAGAGCCTGGCTGCATCACCACCACACAGAAGGTCCCTTCCCTTTGAGACAAAAGTGGATTTGACGTAGAAACACTGACTCATATGGGCAGAACAGAAAAGCAGTAACCAGCACTGACTGAAGGGACTACACGGCTTCTTTGAAGAGAAAACGAGACATTTTTTGTGAACTCAATGCTTCACATAGGCCTCCAAATGTCTCCATTTTCAACCAACAGCTCTTGGCTTTGGAATTTTTAAATGTGCTTCTAAACAATAAATTGTTATAGCCTCTCCCCACCCTCACACCACATACCTAAATAATCTTTTTTTTCCTTTAAAAAAGCTATTATTGACAGTCACATATATTTAAAGACCAATCTGATAATCTTATTTATATAAAAGCAGAATAACAAAACCAAACAAAATCAAAATCCCTCATCACCAGCAAAAAAAAAAAAAAAAAAATCACACTTTGATTAGAAGTTAGCATGATCCTTTTAGATGTCTTGTTTTACTGTACAGAGTTAAATTTTTGCTGAATAAAACATCTTGGCTTAGGACTTTAAAACATTCTAAATGGATCATCACGTTCGATTGTCATTAGAGCTTTGTATCTTGAGGGTTATACAATTTAATGGAGAGTAAAGAATAATTTCCTAATAAGAAATAGTAAAGATTTTAGACACTACAAAAATCTACTATTGTCAACACACACCTCGATGGGCTCATGGCAGCTGTGACTCCTTTGATCTTGGGGCACGAGCTAGGCAGTGAGCGCGCAATTACACCATGGCCATCCTCCCCCACTCCTTACACCAAATTAGTATTTTTCAGACTGTACCATTACTGTACCTCTTCTTGAGTTAGAGGAAATAGAAAATCTCTAATTACATCTCACTTTTTAGAAAGAGCAATAGCATTTGATATACTGTCAGCATTTTGTAAATGCTTTAAAACTTTTGCTCTGTTCCTTTGCACCTGTCATAGTCAACAGTTTTACTTCAGCAGGCATTCAATTATCCACCACCAGACTGCAGGCCCCACGGAGCAGGCCACGGTGTCCTCACTGCGGGCCCTGATGCAGAACCCGCGCTGTTCTCAGGAAGCATCTGTCTGCTCATGAGCAAAGCCACTGGCGTTGGAGGAGAAAGACAAACGTCTACAGTTGTCATAAGCATAAAATGTAAACAGTGCAGTCAAGACAAAGGTGAAAATAATTATTTATATTGTATTATTAAAATTAGAGATACTTTTAGTATTTTTCACCTATGTGCATTTTGTACTGTTTAATTTTTGTGCTTATTACTGCTATAAGCATTTTTTGTTTTCCATTTCTTTTATTAAATACTTTAAATGTATAGAAAACAAAGAATATAATACCCACATGTCCATTACTGAATTTTGCAAAATCTTAAACCTTTGACACATTGACTTCAGATTTTTTAAAAGATGATATTGCAGGTTCTACTGCTGAGCCTTCAGCCATCCACTGCTGCATCCACTCTCTCCTGCCACACCTCCAATTGCTGCCTTATTTTCAATGTTTATTATCCCCTTCAAAGTTTTTCTATTCCAATAGAACATCTATGTGTTTGGGAAAAATACTGAGCTTATTATTTTGTAATTTTAAACTTTATATAATCAATATTTCTGCAACTTGCTTTTCCTGCTCCCCATTATGTCTGAATTATGTTGATACACAAAGCTACAATTCGTATTTTTGAAATGCTGTAGAATATACCACAATTTACCCACGCCCCAGTGGATGGGTCCTTACTTGGGTCTTCAAGTTTCCCGCTATCACAAACAGGCTGTAATGAATATTCTAGTACATTGACTAGAACAACCCCTTCCCCCGTTCATGTTTTCATAAGATTTCTCCTAACTACTCCTGGCCTTATGCCCTGCCCTGCCTACCCAGCACCCACAGAGGTCAGGCTGCTCCACCGGGGCTTGGATAGTAGCCCCCTCCCGCTGGTAAGCCGGGGTCCATTTGAGGTTACGGGGTGAGGTCTCTTGCATGCCTGACTTCCCCAGGGCAAGTCTCTGGGGGGCCATGCTGCATGGAGCTGGTGGCAAGTCTCATTCTGGGCTTAGGTATCAGAAGCTGGTGGTTGCCATATCTTCACTGCCTTTTATCACAATCAACCTGCCACTTGTAACCTTTAGCTGCTTGACCCCTTCGTTCATCATCTTAAGGGTTCTGAGTACAGGCTTAGAAGTGTGAAGTTATTTATTGGCCACCGTTGTGGGTTTGGACCCCTGATAGTTGAAATACTGGCTGGAAATCTTGAAAAACAGAAAAGGAACAGAATTTGGGCAGCATGAACAACTAATAAAAACCCAAACATGAAGAGTTATGAAGGCATTATTCTCTGGCATCTCTTCATGATTCAGTGTACAAGTCTGTGGGTATATAGGTTTGCATGATTTCAAACTTTATGTATATATATCAGATCAGATGTCTTCTGTATCTTGTACTTTCCCCCTCAATACTGCAAGATTAATTCATTTTTACTTCTGTAGCATTTCAGTATATGAACACACCATAATTTCATTACTGGTTGTATTACTGAATACTCAGATTACTTCTAATTTTTGCTACTAAAAATTATTGTTTGAATATTCTTTCACATTTGCAAGATATCTAGGATATGGCTCTAGAAATGGAAATTTCTGTTTGTGAGATTATTCTCCAGTGTAGCTAAACCAATTCACATTCCCATTGACAGTGTTTAAGAGTTCAGGGACTCTACATTCTAACTAATTACAGCATATCAGTTTAAGAATTTCTGCCAGCTCACTAACATGAAATGACATCTTAGTGGTCTTTGCCTGTACTTTCCTAACTACAAGTGAGATTCAGCATCTTTTCACATTTATTGGTCATTCAGGTTTCCTCTTCTGTAAGTTTCCATTAGTGTGTTTTGCCTACTTTCCAAATGAGTTTCCTTTTGTTTTGATTTACTGAAGTTCTTGATGTGTTCTAAGTATTACCCCTTCACATGTTTTATATATTTGTGTGTGTTTGTATCTGTATTTCAAATGTGTTCTCCCAGTCTGTGACTTATAAAAATACCTTTCTAATAACAGTAACAAAGTTTGTGTATTTTCTCTTTTGGATTCTGTGTTTTATGTTTTAAGTAATTCTCTTTACCCTAAGGTCATAAGGATATTTTCCCATATTTTCCTCTAACAGCTCTAAAGTTTCACTCTTCACATTTAGGTGTGTAACCCATGTAGAATTGATTTTTGTGTATAGATCAAAGTGGAGCTCTACATTTTTTTCCATGTGGGTCATAGTTCCCATTCCCTGACCAGCTTGCTTTCTCCCGCTCATGTGCAGCGTCTGAGCTGCTACTCCAGAGGCGAGGGTGTTTCATGGGGGCAATGCGGCGCTGCCTCGGGTACGGTGACGCTGCAGTTCGTCTTAATATCTTACCTCAAGTCACTGTGGGCTACTCCTGGCCTTTGTTCTTAAATAAACTTTAAGATTAGTTTGCAAGTTTCATGAAAAAATCTTGCCAGATTTTTTATTGGGATAGCTGTGAGTTTATAAATTTGGGGAGAAACAACATCTTTATGTACTGTCTTTTCATCCCTGGGCTCTCTTCAATAACGTTTTGTAATTTATCCTTATGATCACACATATCTTCTCAGAGATTTATCCCTTAGTACCTTGTATTTTTTTGTGTTTATTATGAACTGAAGTTTTTTTTTAATTGTGTTTTCTAACTGTGCTGCAGGTCTGTTACATTTTAACATACATTTAATTATAAATTTCCTTATTAGAGTGTAAGTCCTTCAGTGTGTCTACTTACCTCCCGAACATGTAATCCTTTAAACAACTCCTCCTATCTTGTTACAGTCTAGAGTTTTAGCTGGTCTTTTTTAAAAAATGCAAAAAAACCCTCCTTTTCAACAGTCCGTAGTTAATTAAATTTACCAACTTAAAAAATCTCCCTCTCCATGTGCCTTTGTTTTCACATGCCATGTTCTCCTTTTGCTTCCGTCTCTTCCTGCTCAGCTGATCCTCCTGTGGTGCGTTGGTGTGGGGCTGGATAGGCAATCAGTGCTCTAAAGTCTGCATACATCTGAAAATGCTTTTATTTCATCTGCACTCTTCAATAATAACTTTGCTGAGCATGGATGCCTTAAATCAGCATGTAGAAGACATGACTCCACTCTCCTATATCACGTAGTGCTGCTGCGAAGACGCATGCTACTCCTTTTTGGATCATCTGTCCTCTCTTGATAGTTGTCTAGATGTTCCCTTTGTCTATGAAGTACTGCTGTTCTACCGGGAAATGTCTGGAGTGCATTTACTTTCCCTTTTCCTACTCAGTTTTGGAGATGTACATTCAATCTAAGAGCTCACGTCTTTCTCTAATTCTGGAAAATTACCAGCTCTTTCCTCTACTCTCCTCCCAGGACTTCTATGATATGTATACTGAGCCTCTTACTGATTCTCCATGTTTCTCAATGTTCTTCCCAATATCTTCTATCTACACTGTGTTCTTAGTGTCTAATCTAATCAGACGTGATTCCTTCATTTATGTTTCAGTGTTTCAAACACAATTATTTTAAAGTCTTTATTAGGCTTTTCCACAGATAAGGAGAGTTCATGTTCTGGCAACTGCATTTGTTAGCTGTCTTGTCAAGCCACTGATTTTTTTCATAGGTACGGGTATTACAGTGCATAGTTTATGTTAGGAGTTGTTCTTATTTTCCTACGTCATTCCTGGTGCCCTCCTTCATCTTCCTCTGTCACCTGGTTTTGTGAAGGAAGGTCCTAAGCTCCAGGCCACAGGGACAATGGGAATGAACAAGACCACCAGGCTGGCGGCAGCTAGTGCCGTCACTGGCAGAAAGGCTGCGCCCATGCCCACAGATCAACAGAAGGGACCAGATGTTTTAATTTTTCCAGCCTCCTTACACCAGTGGAAAGCCCATGATGTCGAGCAGCGAGGGTGGTCCTTGTGGTCCCCCATGACTCAGGGAACCCACAGGCCCTCGGCCAGTCCTGCTTGTCTCCAGGTCGGTGTTACTAGAGAAGTGAGCCACACAGCTGGGGTGCTCTCCCCAGGTTCCCTTTCATTACTGTGTTGGTGCAGGGCAAAAATCAGTGTAAAGGTGCTATGATATTCTAACCCTGTTTTTTACTGACTTTTACAAAATAAGAGCAAAAAAAATGGCAATGCTCTCAAAGTTTAACTGTGTATAAGACAGTGCCACCAAGTGACATTTAAAAATGTTCATTCCTGCCTTGGCTGGTGTGGCTCAGTGGATTGAGCACCGGTCTGTGAACCAAAGGGTCACCGGTTCGATTGCCAGTGTAGGGTACATGCCTGGGTTGCAGGCTAGGTCCCCAGAAGGTGGTACATGAGATGCAACCACACATTGATGTTTCTCTCCCTCTCTTTCTCCCTCCCTTCCCTTCTCTAAAATAAATAAAATCTTTTTTAAAAAAGTTAATTCCTAAGCTTCTGATCAACCCTGATTTCACTACATACAGTAAAGACTTAGAGACACCAGTCTTTTACTTACACAGATGAAACTATCATCAAAGTTTAAGAGGTGGTACTTTGGTACTTTAATTACCAAAGCACTGCGTGTATTTTATAGAAGAATATGTCAAAAGTATGTCAATTCCCTATCCTTGCCAGAATCAAAGCAGTGTACATTAAGCTTTTTCTTTTCCTTCTTTCTTTCTTTCTTTTTTTTTTTTTTTTGCAGCTGCATGTAACACCACCAGTTGATAGTAGTACAGGCAATAAAGCTTCCATAACTAGAATTCTGGAACTGGGAAGTTTCAGGTTTGGTGCAGCACATTAATCTCTTAAACCCACCAATTCCATAGCACATTTTTCTCTTTTTTTTTTATCCTTACCCAAGGACATTTTTTTCACTGCTTCTAGAGAGGAAGTGAGAGAGAAAAAATATTGATGTGAGAGAGAAGAATCGATTGGTTGCCTCTCACACACACCCAGACTAGAGATCACACACGTCTGGATCAGGGATTGAACCTGCAACCTAGGTATATGCTCTGACCAGGAATCAAACACGCAATCTTTCAGTCATTGGACTACGCTCCAACCAACTGAGCCACACTGGCGAGGGTTCCATAGTATATTTTTCAATGTAGATTCATTTCTTTTAAACATGGTCCTCAAACTGTTTTAAATTTATAAGCATATAAAAAGTATTTTTCTTAATCAAGTGTAGTTTTGGAGAAGCTGAACTTACAGAGACATCAGTTCCTAAGGAAATACCCACAATTGTTAGAAAAGCCCCAAGGAGGAAGTAGAGTTGCAATTTTTTCTAGTCAATTAAATATGTAATACTTCAACACATATTTAGAAGATGTCATCACTTACCTTCTTTTTCACCCCGGGCACTGCCCACGAGGAATCTGGACACTAAGGGTGTGCTGGATAAGGACAAGCAAGTGGAAATAAAAACGCTCTGAGTGGGTCTGATCTGTAAAAGGTGTCCCCATAATAAGCCAAAGGCAATCATTAGTAGTGTCATATAACATGGTCCTTGTAAGGAGATCTTCCACACCTTAAAGAGAACACATTTATTTACACACATCTTAGTGATGACAGAACATCCCTTGACGAGCATCACGCAGAGCACATACATACATACTGTCTGGTAATGGAGCAGGCCTGAATCTTTGAGGGACATACACAACACATTGTGTATATTCAGGAAGAAATTCCTCAGTGGACATAGCAGCACAACATCCAAAGTTGTCATCTTAACACAACAGAAACAGTAAACACTAACATCTGTGTGCTTATAATTTAATCCTCAGAACACATCTTCGAGGTATATATCACTGTCTCCCCCATTTCTAGATGAAAACACTGAAGACCCGTCAGAGGTTGGGGGACTTGACTGGGGTCCCATGCAAGTCAATGTCAGGACATAAACCCAGGCAGCGTGGCTTGATAATCCATCAAATATTGATTAGACACCATGGTATGCACTAAGCACTGCACTAAACATGATGGAAAATGTGAAAGAAACCAGGTTTGATACTAACATTCTGGGGTTTTCAATCTACTTGATGAGGCAATATAATAAAAACTATCTGATACTTACACAATTATGGGTATTACATATTAACAAAAGAAATTAACCTCAAACTCATGCTAGTCTACATTGAAGAACTTGTTCATTTTCTTTTCCTCACTGCACCCTCCCAATCAAAACTGATTCCCTCATCCAGGCCCCCCACAGAAAAAGCTCATGGGGGCCCAGAAGAAGGAGGCCGGAGACGTAGAACTCAGCACAGCTCTGGGACAGTAAGTCAAAGGCAAGCGTTCAGCGGCCCCACCAGCTGGCCAGCGGCATCTGTGTCTCAACACACCTGCTCTCCTTTGGGTGCTCTAAAAGATGCGAGCTTTCCCCTCCCCTGCTCTGGTTTTTGGTAAAAAGCAATACTTCTTGCAAAACCAAAGACATTTTCTTTGAAATCAGGACAGCTGGGAGGCTCTTCCTAAGACTGGTATTGGTTTCCTACTGTGGCAAACAGAGGCACACCCTGGCCCTCCTTAGAGCCATGACCGGCTGCCAGCCTGCCGGTCTACCACAGAATCTTCTAACTTCAGGAAATGAATTACAGGAGCCTCCCAATGCCATAAAGTCCCAACTGGTGGGAGACTAAAAGAGGTAACTGACCTGAGTGCTTGGCCCTCAATGCAGAGACAAATCTGTCTTCTGCCATGTGACTCTGGCCAAAGCAGGCCCCACTCTCTCCTTCCAGAAGGGCAAAGGTTAGCCCCTAATGGCTGCTCCTCAAAAATTCAAACTTCATGCCTCAACTTCATATATTTGGCAGTGATGTTATCATAAAGTGAATCTCTTCCTAATCATTCTTCCTCTTCCTGTATATATGAGCTAACAAGTAATGAAGGACCAGAGCAGACCCACACAGACAGATGCAGCAACTGAGGCTGGGCATGTGAGATTTTAGGGTTCATGGCTACTAGGTAGTCCCTTCTGTAAGTAGTGTTAGCTCTCACACAGAGTATTTCTGCCTACAAGGAACACCTGGAGTTCAGGGGCTGTGCACCGTGGGTAAGTAACAATTTCTCTTCTTTAGTTTCCACATCTGTAGAGAAACGTGAGACTAAAATGATTTTTGAAGTCATTATGAGAGCACACCTTTGACTTTACTATCTGGTGTCTTGCTACACCTTGGTCTGAAGGATTGGAATCTGTTGAACTTGAGAAACAAGGTGTGGAAGGGATGACAGAAAAGACCCCCAGGCGCATCCTTTAGAAACTTCCTGTTCGATGTGGGACCCTGGGCCAGAGCAGCTGCACCACCTGCCATCATAGAAAGGCAGGCCCTCGGGCTGCCGACATTAGTAGCTTCAGTTCAGCAGGAGCCCCAGGCAATTCCTCAGACATCAGAGTCTAGGACGCACTGACGGGAGAATCCCCTCAGCCAAGGCCCCGCGCCCCGAGTATCAGGACCACATTCTCAGATGCACACACGAACACTTGCATACCCTCTCGAGTTCTATTTTCCTCTTTCCTTTCCTAGGACTTCTGTTCACAACTCCCACACATCCTTCCACAGCCCCAAATATAAGCTCCAAAAGGGCAGGGACCATGTTGACTGTATACACTGCCTTACACTCAGAAGCTACCAGGGTGTTTGGAACATCATACTCAACAAGTGTTTGTTGAGAGAACAAATAAGGCATAAAAGAGAAGAAAACACAACTCTTGCCTCCAATTATTTTATAATCTATTTAGAGAGACAAAACCTGATGAACTATTATGATATAAAATTAAGGAACAGTTTAAGTGAGGCTAGAAGAATGAAGGCAGTAGACGATGACTTACTGATAAACGACTTAGACAGTCAATGGTACCAGTGGGCAGAACAGAGAGACCACAACCTTCCTCAGCATCAAGTTTAGTGTTTTTTAATAGTTCTAGTCAAATCTTTAGGATATTTCAGAGAAGACCTAAGAGGGGCCTTCCAGCAGTATTAATATTTCAAAACCCCTATTCAGTAATTTTCTACCATGATAGGAACACATGGGTAACCAACCCACAGAGCAGGGGGACGATTGCACCAGTCACTTCAAGGGCTCTGTAGTTTTGCCAGTTACTTATATCTGAGACATTTTTTTAAATATGTTAGTAACGTAGTTGATTAAGAAGATACAAATCTTGTGCAATCCGAGCCCATGGGCCTAGAGAGGGACAGGATGCCTTCTTAGTGCCTGTCAAGGTTCAGGGCCGCCACATGGGGGCAGCAGCCAAGGCTCCCTGGCACCTGGGAACTGGCCAGTGAGGATCCAAGTCAGGCTGAGGAGACACCACAGACCTCAGCTCACCCCACACAAAGCAAAGAGCACTGCCCAACGTCACTGAATACGTGCCCTTGCCATTTATCAGACAGCATGGCACTCACCAGGCTTCCTCACACAACGCAAACCTTCCTTCCTGAGCCATCCTGACCGCAGCATCACCAAGTGCAAACTGATAAAGTACATGGCTTCTATACTGAAAATTACGTTAACGTTATGTTGTATAGCATGGTCTTCCTATTCAATATTGAATACTACAGTAGTGAAAACATAAATTATAAAAACTTAGAGCTGGAAGAAACTTTAATTTTCTAAAACCCTCACTGATGTCTAAGACGTGAGGCACCTTGCTGAGATGCCAGTCGAAGGAGAACCCAAACTCTGCCCTGCTTTGCTCCATACCACAAGGTAGCCGTTGCTGTTTGCTGTGAACTTCTCTACACTAAACACACGTGAAAACCCAGAGGAGCCCATGCTGTGCTACAAAACAGAGGCCCTGGACTTTCACGGAGCCACAAGATGATTTTCCTGCTCAGGCCCTCAGCTCTTTTGCAGACCTTGGAGGTCCTCGTCACCCAAGCTGGTTTTCTTCTGCCCCACCCACCATACACCTCGATAGAACTAACAGGAAGAATGCAGCCATCTTCTTTTAGGACCCAGGAAAGTGGCCCATTTTCTTTAGACTTTGGATTCAGAAATTAGTATGTGGAGGTCATCATGCCAGAACCATGTAAAAAAGATACAAAAGTACCCAGAGAAAATGCTAAACTAATTCAGAATGCTTTATGAAAAGGCATGCCTTGAGAAGTATTTAAAGGAAGTGAGAGTAACCAGTAGAGGGACAAATGGAGCTTTCAATAGAAAAAAATGAGGCCAAACAGAATAAGGTCAAAGAATAACAGGATGAACTAAGGAGACAATTGGAAAAAGAGGTCAGCAAAATTATAGTAGTTACTCCTTGAAAGGAAACACAAGACTTTACATGAAAAGCTTATTTTTCCTTATTATAAACAGTACATATTGGCTATTACAGGAAATTTGCAAAATACAGGGAAGGAAAAAGGAAGCCCTCCACAGTTGTCTGGCACACTGTTTCCTGCTGCTTTTTACAATGCTTTTAGGCTCCTTTGGGACTGTCGTAGTCAGTCTATATGCTCATATTTTCAAGTTTAGCATTTTAATACATTATTCTTTGTTACTACATGTTCTTATATTTTTAATGGCTACATAATATTCCATCAAGTAGTTATCTTATAGTTTAACCATTAGATACTCAGGTTGCTTCTAATCTTTAATAAAAATGTCACAATGAGGAGCTGAAAACCTTTTGTTGGTTAATTTTTTTTTTTTAAAACTTATCTTTGATTCTTTCCTTTGGCTAGAAACCCAGAAGTAGAACTACTAAGTTAAAGGATATGAACAGATTAAGGCTCTTAAATCAAACGGCTAGATTGCTCTCCAAAAACAGTGTTCCAGTTGTAACTTTCATTAACCTGGTTAAAGAATGCATATTTTATTACCCCTCATGGTAAGTTAAAAACGCTTTGCTCACTTGATGTTAGCATTCTAGCTAATGCTGGTAGGCAAATGGTACCTGGTTTTAACTGACATTTTTTGTAATTGGGGTGTTCCTTTTATTTCCCTCTCCTCCCCACCAGCTTGTTAATCAGCTATTTTGCTTTTCTGTAATATGTTTGTTCCAACTCAACTCAATTTCCATTCTGGAATACTTCAGCATTCAAAGTAATAATTCTAAAAGCCAACAAATTTAGAAGGCAACTGTTGCTGCCATTATTTTAACATCTATTCATACTTATGGTTCTGACTAGTATTAATCTTTCAAAAAATTTCATTTAATGGTGACAGAATAAAATAAAAATTTGCCACTTATTTAGGAATTAGGGTTAGTAAATTTTTTCTAGTGTAACACACTGAATATTCAACCCCCACGATATTTCAGCCTCTAGCAATTTTGGACCTTCGTAGAGGGACCAATGAATTAAAGTTCAAGCATATTGCCCTGGCTGGTGTGGCTCAGTGGGTTGAATAGCAGCCTGTAAACCAAAGGGCTGCCACTTTGATTCCCAGTCAGGGCACCCGCCTGGGTTGAGGGCTGGGTCCCCAGGGGTGGGGCGGGGGGCGCGCAAGAGGCCAACCACACACTGATGTTTCCCTCTCCTCCTCCTGTCCACTCTTTCTAAAATTAAATAAATAAATGAACTCTTGAAAAAAAAATTTCAAGCGTATTACTTCTCAGACCTTTTCTGGAATTAGCCCTTTGAAAGCTAATTCCATTTATTCACTGAATTTACACTTTTTCTAACATGTTTAATCTTTTAAAATTTATGTTCCAAAAGTAGTATCAAACTAAAGCATCATATTCTATTCTAAAACTATTTAATTTGATAGCCAAGTCATGAACAAGGGTTAAAAGTAAATAAACCAAAACCACATTATGTTACCTTGGGGGCAATAACACAGATAGATGTCCTTACCTTTCTCAGCTTTTCTGGGGAAAATTCTAAGCCAACAAGAAAAAGAGTAAAGAACACACCAAATTCTCCTAATGTCTCCACTTGTACAATAGACTGAAAAACAAGAAAATTTTAAAACTATATAATATATTTAACATATTAAGTGTACTTAACAGAACAATCTTGTACTAAGTGGGATCAATACTCAGTGGGATTATCCCTGAAAAAGCACAGGATATATTTTTTAAAAAACTAATTCTTTAAATTTCCTCTATAACCAAGATAATCTGGACTTTCTGATTATAGTGGTTTTTTATTTCCTTTTTTCTTGCTTAACTGAAAAAAGTTTTATTTTCTAAGAACAAGCTCACGAATTCACCTGTTTTCAAGTTCACTGATGCCACTCTGTTATCTTCATTAGTTCCTTTTTTTGGCTTTCTTTGGAGGACGGGGAGGCATTAAACCCGCGTTTAATGATGAACTAATTCAGAGTAGGTCACTGTCGTTTGGACTTCAGTGTGACTAAGTGTATGAACTTTCCCCCGAGTACCACACTTGGTCACACTCCACAGGTTTTGAAATATACAATGTCCTTATGTTCTATACTTGCTTTGGTCCTTCATTTGCTATTTATTTTTGTTTGTTAGTTCGTGAGATTCCACATACGAGTGAAATCATATGGCATTTGCCTTTCCCTGACGGGCTCATTTCACTTGGCATACGTAATACTTCATAGGTCCATCCATGCCTTTGCAGCTTTTTTATCCACTCATCTGCTCAGCACTTGGGCTGCTTCCAAATCTTGACTATCATAAATAATGCTGCAATGAATGTAGGGTGCATATATTCTTTTGAATTAGTGTTTCGGGTTTCTTCAGATAAATTCCCAGAGGTGGAATCACTGGATCCTAAGGCAGCTCCGTTTTTAATTTGCTGAGGAAACACCACACTGCTTTCCACAGTGGCTGCACCAGTCACTCCCACCAGCAGTGCAGGGGGGGGGGGGGTCCCTTTTCTCCCCACATTCTCACCAACACTTGCTGTTTGCTGATTTATTGATGATAACCATTCTGACAAGTGTGAGGTGATATCTCAATGTGGCATTTGCTATTTATTTTTAGTGTTATTACCCTATAGTAGAGAATTTTGTTTCTATTATATTTGGTATAATTTATATTATTTACATTTGAGGTTTTCATTGTGGCTACTGACTGTTCATTTTTTCAAATGTTCCCCGAACATTTGGAGATAAAATACAGGCTCTCATGTGTCTGTGCCATCCCCGCCCCGAGCAGTGACTCGGTCTGTGAGCGGGTGACATTATGAATCCTGCCCCTTTTTACTGGCATCTTTTCTCCTTCCACTTCCAGCCTTTCTTAGTTGCTTTACTTTTACTTCATCTTTATTATACTCCTCTCCACACCACCTGTAAACCTGTATTTTTTAATAGAAAAGTTTATTCCATTTACATCTATTATTGTAAGAGATACTTGTTCTTCTTTTATATCCTCTGGGTTTTATGCTTCCATACTGCTACTTTTATTTTATTTTCCTTCCATTTTAAAAATCAGTCTGTAACCTATGACTTCAAAGTAACATACTTAAATCTGTACTTGTCAACTTAATAAATGAAAACCTATCAACTTCCTCCTAGGAAAAGGTAAATATTTGGTACACTTATACTTTCTCCATTACCCACCTCTCATTTTTGGCTAGTGTGCTCTTGCATTTTTATCTTGATCTACTGTAATTACATTATTTTTCCATGGTATAGCTGATTTATTATGAATTATAATATTTAGCCCTGGCCAGTGTGGCTCAGTTGGTTGGAGTGCCATCCTGCAAACTGAAAGGTTGCAGGTTCAATTCCCAGGTAAGGCACATGCCTGGGTTGCAGGTTTGGTGCATGCAAGAGGCAACTGATTGATGTTTCTCTTCCTCCCTTTCTCTCTCCCTCCCTTCCCCTCTCTCTAAAATCAATAGGCTTGTCCTTGGGTGAGAATTAGAAAAAAAGAATTATAATATTTATAGTATCCAGTTGTATCTATCACCTAGCTATTTAGACTTAATTCCTAGCTTGTGAGCCATTTTTGCTGTTAAGAAAAAAAAAAAGAGGAAACATCTGTATTTGCTATTACTTACAAATACTCTGGAAAGGGAGGGATGGGACATGAGCAGGAAGAGATTTTTCACTTACAGCTTTTTACTGTTTTCAATCATGTGAACATTACCTGTTCAAAAGTTAAATTAAAACCGTTCTCCCCAGAGGCACCCTGCTGACCCCAGCCAGCTGGGCCCAGCCCGTGAGGGCACTCCCACATTGGTTAGCTACCCTACCACTCACTAAGGTGCTGGGCTTTTAGCCTGGAGTAGCTGAGCCCAACTTCTCATCCGGCTTATCTTACCCGCTGTTAAGAGTAGTCTGGTGTGATGATTTCTTCACACCCTCTTCTGCTGTTTCCCAGCCTGGGTAAATCACAGAGGTCCTGACCTGGTACAGGTGTGTTAATCAGCAGTAAGGAAACGAGGCTGCAAGTGGTGCATTCCACAACCTTCCCTCATTTGTCTTCTCCTATTCCATCCAACTGCAAACCATCAGTGAGGTTTGCAAATTCTGTTGCTTTTTTTCCATCATCCTACATTGTTCCTTCTGTGTGGACTCATGACACTTACTTACTCTCAGCATTCTTTTTCTATTTTGTCCAAATTGTGTAGATTTAAATGAGAAATTCCAAAGCCCAAAAAATGCTGGGAATCCTTCCTGTCAAAAAGTGCTGTCAATGTAAAATGAAGCTCACTTCATCTGTTTGGCAAGCAGCCTCCAGCCAATGCAGCCTCAGTGCCCCACTGTCTCTTGGGGTTCTCATAATACCCTACATTTAAGGCTTGATAAGCCCTCACGACTTTATAAATTTTTCAATGTATTAAGAATTTTGTTCAAATCTTTAAAAAAAGATTTTATTTGTTTATTTTCAGAGAGAGGGTAAGAGAGGGAAAAAGAGAGAGAGAGAAACATTGATGTGTGAGAGAAACATTGATCAGCTGCCTCTCAGGCACCCCCAATCAGGGACCTGGTCCCCAACCCAGGCATGTACCCTGACTGGGAATCGAACCAGTGACCTTTCGGTTTGCAGGCCAGTGTTCAATCCACTGAGCCACACAAGCCAGGGCTGTATTAAGAATTTTTTTAAAAATACACTGAATCCAGCATTTTTGGTTCCTTCCGGTCTCTGAATAATTTGGTCCATCATTTTACTGGAAATAGAATCTTTAAAGCTAATACAACTGAAAGACATGATAAGGGTTATTTTATCTAGTCAAGTCACCCACTCATTAATGAATAAACTGACTTTCTTACTGCTTAGAAATTTTTTATGAAACTTTAAAGGGCATCATCTTTAATATGGTTTATAAGAAACTGTTATCTTCATTAATTCAAGTTCAAAACTTTATTGTCTTCATGAATGTTCCTTTTGTATTCTGTTAAACAGATACTAAAACAGTTAAGTTTTGTTCTTACCTTAATACTATTTAGTCCTGAAGGTCCCAGAAGTACACCACAAATAATATAACCAAACATTGTAGGCAACCCTATTGTTGTGCAGAGCCAGCCACAAGGTAAAGACAACATTCCTATGGTAACAATGTCCTAATACAAGAGAAAACAAGAAACACAAAAATTTAAGATAATAGTTGGCAAGAAAGGTCTGGTTGATGGAAAAAGCACGACAGGATAGTATCCTGATTTCACTGAATGGAAATAAAGAACAAACAATGAAACGAAAGGAGAAAATTCTTACTACTACTGTGTACAACAGAGAAGTTGAAAACAGAATGTATTCTGGGAGTAGATGAAGTTAGTTCCTAAGGGTCTAACGATTTTAGCAAAATCTTTACAGTAGCCTAAGAATTCTGAACACTAGGACTCCATTTAGTCTTTTAGTCTGGGAAATCTTTAGAGCTGGTGTCCTAATATAACTTACCTTCTACATTGGTTTTCCTGCCACACAAAGTCAATATAACCATCACAGTCATAATTGATTCTGGCAAGAATCATCAATGGGTGTTAAAACTCCTGGTGAAAGTTTGGCAAGAAGCAGGATATTCATATAGCCTCAAAATATTTCTCCAGAAATGATATATTAATTACAAAGGTTAAAAAAAAGAGAGAGAAACTCATAGTGGAGACCCCACCCATTTAGAGGGCACTAATGTGTTCATTTTGCAGACTCAGCCCCTCCCAGTTGCCATTCCAGCCATAACTAAGGAAGGCAATTCATCTGCTAAGTTTTATCTATTGACTCAAGAATACTGATATGGGGACCAGCCCCTCACAGAGCCCTTGGAGATCATTTACCTTCCTCTCAGCCTGTCTGTGTTGGCACCATCTCTAAGAGTAGGTTATTTGCCTGAGTTTCTTTTCCTGTACAAATTCCAGTGTCGGGGAGCTCTGTTAGAGACCTGACAATTTATATGGAACCCACCTGCCTTCCCTGAGCAGGCTGGGTCCCGTCACATCTAATCTATTCCTTATTTCTGTCCAAATCCAAACAGTGACCTTGAACCATATAACCATCAACTTTCAAGTCTTTAAATGATTTTATATCCTCTTACTTGAATGGTTTCCTTAGAGTCCACAGAGCTGCATCCAGCTCAGTCCCTCAGTCTGGAACGCCAGTCCCCGCTGAGGGAGACAGTTCTCACACTGCACCACCTCCCCTCCCCCAGGTCAAACAAAGCCATGTGTGATACCTTAGCCAAAACTCTCTGCCTCAGAAGAATGTTTTATTTTAGTGAAAACAGTTTTAGATAGCTGAAGCTTTAATCCCATCGTATAACACAAAAAGTCTTCAAAACTCTCAAAACAAAATTAATTTTCATTTTAAACATTAAAATGCTTTATTCTTACAGGGAAAAGAGTAAAAAGTAAGAGAAAATGTTTTAAGTCACAGAAAGCGTAGGGAATTCTAGTAAAATCTCTCTGTTAGGAGGAAGGATACATACTCTAATATAATATTCAGAAAATAAAGCTCGATCTCACTTGACATGTATACCAGAAGATGGGAAGGGGATTTAGTGGGAATTAACCCCAGAGCCCGGTTTTGAGAGGAGAGCGAGCAGACGGACAGACTACCTTTATGAAGTGGTGATCTGCACGCGGGATTGTTGCATCTCTGGGCTTCGTCAAAATATACTGGTTGTTCTGGGAGTCAATCAGCATGCTAAGACCTAAGTCATCTTCCACTTCCCGTTTTGTGAGATTTTGCTTTGAATTGGCCTCTTCTTCCTCCACCCTCAGAACTGCCTCAAAATTGACCCCCTTGACCTGTAACAATAACCAATATTATGTAATTAGCATTTTTCAAGTTCAATTTTTAGAGAGTAAATTCATAGAGAAGAATGATAGGAATGTTTTTGGTATTCTGTCAGATGTGAGGAAAGATCAACAAATATTTGTTAGTATGAATTTGAAAAAAATTTCAATGAAAAAAGGAAGTATTGAAAATTTCTATTACTTCTAAATACCTAGTTTACCTAATTCACGTTGTGGACCTGTGAGGTATAATAATAAATATATATTTGGTATTCACCACCTGTCCTGGCTCACAACTGCCAAAACCCATGTAATTTCCTAAGTAACAATGAGCAATGGGAACATCTTTTGCTATATTTGGTCTTTCATCCTTGGTTCCTGAAATAGCTCCAGAACGATAGAGGTGAAAGAAGTATCTTGTTATTGAGAAGCCCTTAGCCACCTTGCCTGAGTGGATATTTGTGAGGTGATTTTTGGAAAGGCCTTAGATATAACCACAGGACTGGACTGGTCACCACAGGAACTAAGCATGTGATGAGGGGGCTGACCTTTCAGCCCGACCCAGGCCTCCATGAGGGGGAAGGGGCTGGAGACAGAGTTAATCACAAGCCTACATAATGAAGCCTCCATGGAAATCCCTCAGGTATGGGGTTCACAGGGGGCTCCGCAGCTTTTCCGCACAACTTGCCACATGCGCATCTTCACCTGGCTCTTTCTGAGCTCTATCCTATACGTAGTAATCTAGAAAGTAAACTGCTTTCCTGAGTTCTGTGACCTGCTCTAGCAAATTATGGAGCTCAAGAAGGAGGAACATGGATCCTCCAGGGTAACAACCTGGTACTCGGGATTGGTGACTTCCGTGGAGAGGAGTCTTGGACTGAGCCCTGACCTGCAGGGCCTGCGCTAACCCCAGCTAGAGTGAGAACTGCACGGAACTGTCAGACACCCTGCTAGTGCCACCAAGAGCTGGAGACTGATTGGCAGGGGAAAGCCCCGGTGCCCTGGGAGTACTGAGGCGTTTGCGGAGCAGGGAATGAAGGGCATGACTGTTTTACTTTCACGGGCATATTCTTTCAAAAAGTCATAGCCCTTAAAATACTCATGATCCCTTAAAAAAAGTCATAGCCCTTAAAATACTCCATCTGATAATTAGAAAATTTTAAAAACACCCCACACTTTTCACTCATTTTTCATTCTTCCTCCTTTCTTATCTGATCTTGCTCTAATCTGCTTTTATTACCTAACCCATTTCTGAGTCCATTCCAAGACTCACAATTTTCAGCATTCATCTCATTTTTTCCCCAAAGAATCCTGATCATGGAACAGTCAGCAGTCTGAAATTCTGCTTCAGATGTGAAAATAATTTCCTATAAGGAGTTTTTGGCTCCCCTGGACGATCAGCATGGAAACCCAACCGTCCAAGGCAAGGCTCCCTGAACCCAGAGTCCCAGTCCTCCTGAGGGCACAGCTGGGAAGGAAAGCTGGGCCTCTAATGGGCGACTGATGGAAGGAGAGAAGAAAACGAAGGAAAACTAGAGTGCTTCTTCTGCAAGACCAAGCCAAACTATTTTTGACACAGAAGTGTTTTAGTTTTGTCCTTGTTTTCAAACTACACTAAAAATACACATGCAAACAATCTCAACAACACATCCTTTCAATAAGTAGCTCCACAGGTAAAGATGAACTTGTTCTGGAAGGCTACTTACTGATTTATTGTCATCAAAAGCATGCTCCTCTATTTCCTCCTCTAAACGATCGGCTGCCTTTCTTACATCTTCAAGAATTTCATCAAGCATGGATAAACTTTTGTTTTGATGTTGCATATTTTTAAGGGCTTCAACTTGATGTTTTTCTGCTGCCAGAAGTTCCACATATTCTGTCTCTTCCTATTCATTTGTAAGAAATAAAGAGTGGGGTTTATTAAAAAATAAATCAAATATCACTTCCATTTAGGTATCTGGCCCAACCACACCAACCACCATACTCTCTCTCTGTTAAATGTTCCTGCTCATAAATGAATAATTCAAGCTCTAGGCAATTAGGAAAAGTCAAGGATCACCACCATATAGTCCATCGTTGACTAGAACGCTGTTATGTGGTGTATGACTGTATTTGTACCCAAAATGCCATACTTTGGTAAAGAAAGTTTAATAAGTCTGTATCTTCTCTACTTTTTAAGCTATGTAATAATACCATAGGCTTTCTATGAAGATGGAGTTATATTTTATATATTTAAAGTACCTGGCACCTAATACATGGCTTAAATGATGGCTTTAAAAAATCATATAAATAATATCACATCTGATACAGCAGTAGTTTCTTCTCATTTTAAAAGTATACTTCATCAAAATCCTTAATTCAAATGTATACATACACTTGTTTAAAACCAATTTTAATATTTTTGTTGAAGCAAATCAACATTCACACAGAAAGGTGTTCTGTTACAAACGGAAAATGTTCATTGCTGTTACAAATATATTTATTTCTGCATCAGTTTATTGGGATAACTTCGGTAATTATTTTAATAACCCAGGTATTTCACAATACAGAAAGGCATTCGAGAATGACTTCTGGAAGTGATAAAACGTAACTACTCTAAGATACCATGCAAAGCAAAGGCTGCTCGTAGGCACTAGAGATTTTCTCTGTGTTTAATCATTACGAACAAAAGCCCTTAACGGACCACATCTGCTGAAGCATCAGCATCATCTGCGTTTTTCCTCCCCCCCACCTTCTAGCTCAGAGTGGGAGATGACTAACCTTTATGGCAGCCTCTCTCAAGGCCTCCAGGCGCTGCCTGCTGCTCTCTTTCATGTTCACCACGTCTTTGTAATCTCCCTGCAGGGCTCTTTGGAGTCCATAGATAGCCTGGAAGACTGAATTTTCACTTTCGTTGAGCTCTTTTTGGAAAATTTCAAATGTGTGCACCTGAAAGAGCTTCTCTTCATCCGAAAGGCCAACATCTTTTTCCACTGCTCTGATTGCATTTTTCAGTTTGTTAAGAACTACAGCCTTTTGGCGAAGAAGGCCGGAGAGCTTTCTGCAGCCATCTAGGACCCACTGCTTCCTCTGCGTGATAGCTGCCCCTTTGCCTCGGTGCAGCTTGATGGCATGTTTTGCTACCTCTTCATGTTCCGCAGCATTTGCTATCAAATGAAGCAATGGAAGCAACATCCAAAAGTAATGTTTTTCCAATACCTTCATGATCCAGTTTTAGAGGACAGAGCAAGGCAGTCCAAAGATTTCCGCTAAGCTGAGCTTGCATTTTAGATAAACATTTTCAGCTGGAAAGAAAGGTTTATTGTCACATATAGTTGAATGATGATTCATTATTACTGAAATCAAAGTTAAAGTATTAAATAGTTACATCCAGAAAACTATCACTGTTCTGAAGAAAATGGTTTGTTTTTTTTTTCTATATTAACATCTGAACTATTTTTTGCACCTAGGTTAAAATCAAATACTGAATGTGAAAGTATGTGCCTGGTAAGACTTGAGACTAAAGGCTGTGTCTGAATTTAAAGGAAATAGTTTTAAAGAAAAACTCAGCCTCATGTATTTACTAAATTTATCAAGGACAAAAGACAAAATCACTTCTATTTGAGAGGTTCCATGTATCAACGACCAGAAAATTCATAGATCAGTTAACCACCTGTGGGAAACATGCTCTAAATCATTCCAGAAATGACATCTTTTGAGGTACTATTAGCTTGTTGGCCATATCATTTGCTTTCCAAAATCACTTGGAATTTTGCTAAATTTCCAAAGTCAGTCTATAGTTAATTCTATAGTTAAGTGCCAATAAGATAGCAAGGGCAGAAAAAAAAAATCTCCAAATATAATCACATCTGGATCTCTAGGGCTTTAAAAACATTCAAACATTTCAATCGTCCGAACTCAAGCTTCCTCTCCTTCTCTCTTTAGGGAGGCCTCAAGCAGCATGTACGAACTTATCCCGGCACCTGAGCACAGACGCAGCCCTGGACTGGACGAGCTGGAGGGTTCGGTACAGGCAGCAGTGGGAGCTGCCGCTGTGGTGTCCGGACTGTTACAAGCAGAGCACAGGGCTGTTCCCCCAGGGGGAAGTGTTATCAAGGAGCAGGAGGCAGCTGTGATGTCACTAGGAAAGAATGACCTGAGGGGCAGTAAAATAGACTACAGAAAGAAGAAGTAACAAATGCAAGAGAAGCCAGTGAGATACACCTTAAAAAATATGCACTGAACCTGGCATCTAGGAGCTCACTGGGCCCAAGCAGTTAGACCAAAAAAGAAAACACAATTTTCCACAGGACTTACAGTTTATAGGAAACAAAACATTCATATACACCATCTAATCATTCTTAAGAGCCGTATGCAATGGATTATCATGTCAAGAATTCTTATTCAACTGTCAAAAATACCAATATTTCCCCTACCTGGGGATCTGTTTACTAAAATATTAATCTATACTTTAATTTCATTGATAATCCCAGTTGTAATCACTTTAATCTGGTTTCCCAAACAAAGCAGATTAGATGCAGCAAAAATAAAAGTGGGGCATTTCTAGAGATAGAATTCTGACCAAACCAAGAAATGGCAGCCAATAGATAGTGGAGACAAAACAGAGCTTAGGAAAAAGAAATACAAGAAGTGACCAAAGACCAGCAGCCCAGGTGACCTGGGGTAGGGCTGAACCATTCCGAGCACTTCTGCAGATCCTAAAAATACCTCTTTGGAGACCAGAAGAGCCACCAATGTTGAAAATGACAATAAAAAAAGTCACGAAGAAAAGACTATATTCTGGTTAAAAAATCAGAAAACTGCTCGATTTCAATACATTTTTAGATACTTTGGCTCCTAATGTTACAAGAATTCACTTACCTAGAACAGTTCAATTCTTAATAAGGTTGGATAAATGAGAACTTGCTGTTTGTTATAGTTTTAATACAACTTAAAGTAAATGTTCCCACCTTAAAAATAAATAACCGATTAACCAATCACAGTCACACCTAGCAATGTAGTTGTTATTTTAATGACTCACTTAATTGCTAAGCTTCTATTGTTCCAAGAGAGAAAGAATTGAATTGTCACTTCAGAAGTACACTTTCAGTACCTTTCAGAACCAAGACAGAAATTCCAAATGCTTCATTAATGCATTCCATTCCCCGCCCCTGTCCCAAAGTGATTCTTTTATGGATTTCAGACTTCAGAAAAATAATCCACTGCACAGTCTGTGTGTGAATAGCACCCCTTTGTTCATTTCTGGTTCCTTCCTCCAGCAAGTCCCTGAAATTAAATAGCTATCCTTCTAAACCATAATACCCAAGGGAGCTATTAATTTTTATGAGAAATCTTTGAGAATTGTAGTTGTAGACAAACTAATATTTCCATTGAAATAAGCTTATATCATCAACCTAAACTGAAATTATTTATTTTTCCTTCATACTTGGCTATCAAATCCTATGGATTACTAACATGCTTTTTCTTGAGTAAATGGTAAACATTTTAAGTTTCAGTGTTATTTTATTATTGTTATATATCATCATTAAGAAATATTTTGGATTTGTTGTGTTTTTATAATGAATTCTTAAAGTTTCTATTTCTTGAACTACTGATACATAGAACCTGGAGTCAGTCTCCAGGTTCAGTGAGGAGAGCCTATCATGCACACTGTATGACTCCATTTACACACTGTTCTTGAAATGACAAACTGTAGAGTTGGAGAACAGATCGCAGTTGTCAGGGGTCAGGGAAGGGTGAGGAGGTGGTTGTGGCTATAACAAGATAGCAGGAGGGACCCTGTGGGACAGAAATGTTCTGTGTCTTGACTGTGGTAGGGCCACACAAACTTATGCGTACAATAGAATTGTACAGACTGTGACATGTGCACATATACAAATGCAGGCCATACCGGTGCAATCCGAATAAGCCGGATGGGATGCATCACTGTAATGTCCTGCTTATACTGTAGTTTTGTAAGGACGACCACCGGGGAAAACTAGGCAAAGAGTGTACAGGATTTCTCTGCATTATTTCTCACAACTGTATGTGAATTTAATCACCTCAAAAATTATGTATAAATGTTTACTGTTTCCCACTACATCCTTACTGCATATAATGATCACCATATGCATTGCAGAGGGGTGATATATTTTCATATTTTAAAAAAACTAGAAAATGCCCTAAAACAGAGCCAAAGGTTTTCAGGCTGGCTCAGCTACAGTAAAACCTAAGGTTACTTTTCACTTAGCACAATAGCAAAATCAAATACTTTGAGCACCACCCCTCCCCGAAAGTTTCTACTTGAAAACGTTTCTATCCCAACATTAATTAAAATATATCTCCCCAACTTATCAAATTCAAATGGGTTTTTATAAATGCAGAATAGGAATCTCAACACTTATTTTTAAATTGATGAGATTATTTGATGCAGAAAAAAAGTATTTGTAATAAATGTCTTACATGATTTAAAATAAAAGGGCAAATGGGTTCACCATTAAGCCTATTCAAAAAAAACTTCCCATACTTCTAATTCATTGTCATTTTACATACACACACACACACACACACACACACACAAATCTCATCAGTCTTATTCTACAGAGAATTTTTAGCAATTCAGAAATGTCACATATCATTTATTGGATAAAAAGCTCAAAAACAGAGCATAATAATGTAGTCTCAGACTAGGCTCTTTCAGAGCAAAGTCACTAAAGTGAAAGATTTCTCCCGTACACCTCTGACTGGGGGCTCCATCATGACGACAGGGTTGAGAAAACTATCTCTTTAGGCACCTGCTGTTAGGCCCCCAGAGCCCAGAGCCCAGAGCCTTAGGGTTAAGGAGTCCTTCAGGGAAAGGGAAAGTCAATGGAGGAGAACTGAAGCAGCTACTCTTTTATCAGTTTTTTGTAATGGGCTAAAATCAGAAAACCTTGCGGCTCTGCTGCCCAGCCTCCTGCTCCTCATGCAGCCACAGGAGGCTCCTTCATCTCTCTTCCTCAGGGCCTTCCAGACCCACTGCTGCGTATTCACCAGATGAAACTGCTGAGAACGCACCTACAGTAGTTTATTCACTGCACTAGTTCAGCAGCCACTGTGTGCCTGGCAGAGTCCCCCTGGGCTGGGCTCTGACTTTATTGGTAAAGCTGGGGAAGCCACCCAAATCAGCAGTAAAACAGCAGGGAGGGAGTTTACAGACCTTCAGCCAGGCTGCATTCTAACTTAGGTGTCAGGGTCTTGTTGTTGTAGCCAATCAAATAAACAGGGTCCCACAAATCCTAACGCCTTCTGCCACCAGACAGCCCAAGCCAGGATGTTAGCCCCATTCACCCAGCTGAACCTGAGCCCCAGGTGTGGGGGGTACTGACCTGGTGCTTGGGCTGTGTGTAGGAAATTCCGGAACAAGCAGTGTGGGTGTGGCAAGAACAGGGGAGTCCAGTACCAGTTACTTTGCTTCCTCTGAAAAATGAAAATATAAGGATTATTTCTATTTAATTGTTTAAAATTAGAATTTGCCCTGGCTGGTGTGGCTCAGTGGACTGAGTGCCAGCCTTTGGCAAACCAAGGGGTTGCCCCGTTTGATTCCCGGTTGGGGCACATGCCTGGGTTGAGGGCCAGGTCCCCAGGTGGGGGTGCATGAGAGGCAACCACACATTGATGTTTCTCTCCCTCTCCTTCTCCCTCCCTTCCCCTCTCTCTAAAAATAAATAAATAAAATATTAAATAAAACAAAAAAGCTAAAGTTAATATATATGTAAAAGAATTCCTTCATGATACCAACACTCTCAGGTTCAGCAAAAAACAGTAATTTAACAGGCAACAAAGGAGGAGCTTGTGGAATGGTCTAGTGAGGAAATTCCCCAACACAAATAATCTTAATCTAATCTGTGGAAGATTTAATAAGCATATTTTAAATTTTAACAAGTTGAATGATGTAAAGTATATTAAAAATAAAGCACTTACTATCTTGTAAATACAATTTGTGCTTATTCATATCTAATTAGTAAAAGAATTGGAGAATGAAAGAAAGGGAGAGAGGAATGAAAGAAAATTCTTATGGACATTAAAAATGTTTAAGGCATATAATTGTTAATTAAATTCTACAAAAAAAAACAAAACCCCACAAATATTCCATTGAGGAATCCAATCACGGAGACACTACTTTCTAAAAAGTTAGTATTACAAGAGAAATTTGGAACCAGTAAGATGCTCTGATCCAAAGAATAATCAGGAAAATGTGTAAATATGAAAAGGCTGAGCTATCTTATACCTAGATCAATATACGATCTAATAATATCTGAATGTCAGAGCTTGTGTCCCCAATGGGTATTTAAAATAGCCATTACATTTATTCAGGCGCTATCAGGTGAGATCCAAAAAGAGCTGAGACACGGGGCCTACGAGGAAGGTTGGAGCTCAGTGACCCGCATTTGTTCTTGCGGACGTGGGGGAATAAGAAAGGAAGAGCAAAGAACAGCCCTTCTGGGGAAGGAGTAAGGGATCCACAGCGGATCCCCTCCCGGTTTATGGTGCGTGAAGATGAGAGAGATCTCCCTGTTTTTCCTGGGAGATGGTCTAGGACAGTCGGCAAACGGCGTTAGGTCTTCTGCGGGACCCCGTTTATTTGCTTACAGCAATAAGACCTTGACACCTAAGTTAGAATGCACCCTGGCAGAAGGTCTGTAAACCCAGCCAGCTGTTAAACCGCTGACTCCGGCGGCTTCCCCGGCTTTACCAATAAAGACTGCACTTCGCAACCCTGCCGCATCACACTCTCCTAACCACGATCCTGGGGTCCACTGCCAGGTCCACCCGTCTGTACGAGAGGTTGTGAAAAAGGCTGAACCATCAACCTCACATACCGCAGAGCCAGGCGCGCAGAAAGAGAGATGAAGAGCGGGGCTCTGGGATCCGAAAGGCCCGAGTCTGAGAGGAGAGAACGGGAAACCTCCGGGAGGGGGAGACCCTGCCCAGAAGGAAACCCGAGGAAGGGAATACTCCAGGGAGGGAAGACCCAGGGAGGAAAGACCCAAGGAGGAAGCCCCGAGGGTCCGAACTTCGGGCAGGATCCTGCACAGCGCTCACCGGGATGTTCCGGACGCCGCGCGTCCTGGGTCCGGCTCTCTGGCTCCGGGAGGCCAAGGGCGGACAAGTAATCGGCTGTACCGCATCCCTTCGCAAGCGGCGGGACCGCCCTTGGGGCAGGAACAGGGACCGGGTCGGGTACGGAGTCTCCCCGAGCCACCCGACCCCCCGTCTCCCGAACGCCGTCTCTGCAGACGCGACCAAGAGCAGGTAGCTGCCCCCTTAAAAGGGTGGGCAAGGATTCAGTCGGCTCCCGGGTGGCGCGGTGCTCCTTGGGATTTGTAGGAGAGAGCTGGGACCCGGGCACCATGGCCCCTGGGCTGCGCAGTGCACGTCGGAGTTGGAGGCGGGGACGGGGCGGGGCGCCCGGGTCCAGCGGGCCCACTACGCGCTAGAGCGTTGGCGCTGAGAGGGGGCGGGGCCTGGGCCTGGTACGCCCCTGGGAGCATCGGCGCACGCCGGGAGTTGGAGTTCCGTCGGGAACCTGTCCTCGCCTCCCCTGTGCGTCTCCCGCCCCCCCCTCGGCCCCTCCCCTCGGCCCCTCCCCTCGGCCCGTCCCTTGGGCCCCTCCCCGGGCGGGTGTCCCGGGAGCCGAGGACTAGGACCCTGCGGCTGTAGCGGAGCGGGAGGCGGCTGGGGCTCCTGCGCAGACGGCTGGGCCGCTGAGAAGCGGGGAGCGCCGGGGAGAATGGTAGGTGGCCCGCAGTTTCGCCTTCCGCCCGGCCCCTCCTGCGCACCCGGGGCTGGGGGAGCTCCCGGGTCGGGGGGCCGGAGCCGGGGAGCGCTGGGCGCGAAGGTCACCGGAGCGGCGGGGTCGCGGCCCGCCCTCCTTTGCCGTGGGCGCTGCTGGAGCTGGGGAGGCACGCAGGTGGGAACCTGCACGGCCCAGGGCGAGATCTGCGCGGTGACCTCAGTGCAGCGCTTTGGTTTGACGGGATGGGGGCACAGGGCAAGCAAGCATGGGGACTCCGACCAGTGCTCCACCTAAGCTCGAGCAGCGGGGTGAACTAGAAGGGAGGGACGTTCCGAGCAGACGCAGCATCCTGTCAGAGGTGAAATGGACAAGACAGTGCCTTTGAGCATTGCCAGTAATTCAGTGTGGCTGGAATGTGGAGTTCAGGGTCCACAATGGCAGGACTACACAAGCAGGGCCTTGTATTAGATGCTGAGTATTGAGTTTATCTAGGATATAACGGGAACCATAGAAGGTTTTTAGGAAGTAGGGTTGTGTGTGAGTTGATCATGTTTGTATTTTATTTATAAAAGGCCGTTTGCAAAGAGAATAGGAATTGGATCAGAAGGGGTCAGGACTGCAAGGAGACCAGCTAGGAAACTATAGTAATAATTTAGGGAATAAGAGTTGAAGACTTGAGCCAAAGATTGTCTGTAGGAATAAGGGAGATGAGAGGAGGGAGAGGTGAGGACTTTTACAGAGCTGTTCAGAAGGGGAGACTAAAGGAAAGAAAGGACTCAGCAGTTTCTGGCTGGGACAGCTGAGCAGATGGTGATGTTATTGACCAAAATGGGGAATATAGAGGGAAGTGCAGATTTGTGTGGGAAGACAATATAGTAATAAGGAGGAAATAGAGGGATCATATAGCTGGTAGGAGATAGAGATATGGAGCTCAGAAAAGACCTTTTGGGAAATTACTTTGTAAATGCACAATTACTTTGTAAGTGTACAATTACTTTAAATGTAGTGGAAACCATGGTAGTCGATGGGTTTCATCACTCATTCAGTAAATTCACGTTTCTCTGTGCAAGGAAGGTAGTATGCAGGATGCTGGGATATTCATGGAGCTGATGTCCTAGCAGGAGAGACAAGCACTAAAAGCACAACCATTTTATTACAGTTGTGATAAGTGCCAGGGAGTGGCACAGGTTCCAGGAACCCAGGTGGTGGGGTAGGTGAGTGGTGTCAGATGCTGAGGCAGTGAAGGTTTAGCCAAAGTAATACATGTGAGCTGAACTCTCAAGAATGAGTGGGGTGGGAGGGGCAGCCAGGTGTGTGCAGTACTCCAGGAGGAAAGAACAGAATAGGTGGTAGGGGATCGCATCCTCCAGGAATTGGAAAATCTGCCTGTCTAACCACAGAGAGCCACGGAAACGTGACACAGCAGGAAGCTTGAAAGGGAGCTGGAACCAGGTTGTTCAGTCTTCCAGGGCACAGGAAGAAAATGTTAGTCTTTGTCCTAATGGTATGGGAAGGCCAGTGGGAGGGGCCCAGAGGGGAAAGAGTAGAGGCCTGAGGACAGAGCTTGAGGGTGGGCAGATTGGCCAAGAAGGAGATGAAGAAGGGCATGTCAGAGAAACAAGATTAGACAGAGTGGTCTTAGGAACCAGCAGTGCAGCCAGAAGGCACTTGGTGGCTTAGTGGAGCAGCTGCACTGCCCAGGCGGGGTGTGCCCACCTCAGCAGGCAGAGACCACTCTCTCCAGCTCTTAAGGAAAAGCGACTAGGTGGGCAGGACCTTAACTTGCAGAAGAGGACTGTGCAACCACTGCAGAGGTTGGAGACCCATGAGTATGAAAGGAAACACTTGAATTTTAACACCAATGCTCCCCCTCCCCCCACCTGAAATAGAGTCAAAGTGACCAAGTTTATATAATAAATGTGGTAACTATTGTTGCCCTGGCAGCCCCTAGTAAGTTGATCCTAAGAGAAGATTTCCTGTATCAAGTGGAAGGGCATTGTAAGAATAACTTTTTCTTTTTTCATTTTATGCATGGTCAGTCTTGGTGCCCAGATTATGTAAGCAATTTTAACAAGGTCACAGTTAAAGTATTTGAGACTTTTTCTATAAGTTGGAGATTTTATTTTATCCTTCTCCTGGATTGTCTAGATTTTTATTTCAGTAATTCTGTACATTTTACCAGAATAAAACAATGAAACATAGACAATGCCATCCCCCCTCCCCTTTAAAAGCTACCATTAATAATTTAATTGTCTTGGCATGGTAAGTCTCAGTGAAGGCCATCAGAGCTTGAAGCGTAGGCCCTGGTCCTGCCAATTTATGGACCTTTATTAATTTTACATGGATTTCATCTTGTCTAAATAGGCCAGAGCTTACTTCTTTTCTCTCTAATTTTTTTTCATTTCTAAGGCTTTTTCTTCTAGACAGCTTTATGCCAGTTCCCTTTCCTACTAATTGCAACTTGCAGTTTGCAAATATAACCTACAGTCTTTAGACTTAGATTAATGATGATTGTTTTAATCACTATTGTTTTATGGAGAAACTTGTAATGGGTGACGTCAAATTGGTGCAACTTTAATGATAGTTCCCTTCCTTTTCATTCTCGTCAGAGACATGTTATGGGCTAAGCCTAGGCCCATGGCGCCTCTTTTTCCTTCAGAACCAGCACCTTTATACCACTTACAGGTTCAAGGTTGTAAGATCTGTCTTATGACATATCAGGCACTTGGAATAGATAGAAAAGGGATTTATTTATTTCTCTAACTGCAGGTCCACCCATTTTGTCACCTAGCACAGTAACAATTCAGACCACATTGTGCGGCCTGTGTGGATATACTCCTGCACCTCCTTTTCTAGAGTTTTCGCAAAACAGTCCCCTTCAGACTGTTGCTATAACTTTTTGTCACATACAAGGAAGGGCTTCAAGAGGTCATTAACAAGAAAAGTACCTCAAGATTAGGCATCATCATATCTTCCAGCTGTCTGTCAACATATACTCCTTGTGGATCTATCAGTTGTATAAAGCTGGTTAAACACTTAGGTTACCTGACAGTTAGTTACTCTGTTGATTAATCTTGGAGCTTCCAAGGGTGTGCTACCTTGGATTTCTTTTGAGGTGGAATCTATGAAACATAAAATTAACTATTAAAAATCGTGCAGTTCAATTGCATTTAGTGCATCCACAACATTGTGCTACCACCACCTCTATCCAAATATTTTCACCATCCCGAAGAAAACCCCACACCCATTAGCATCCACTCCCCTCAGCCCAGCTCCCGACAACCACCAAGCTGCTTCAGTCCCTATGGACTTGCCTTATAGAATCATACAATGCATGATTTTTTATGACTGACTTTCACTCATCATGTTTGCAAAGTTCACCCACATCATAGCATCAGTACTTTATTCCCTTTTATGACTGAATTTCATTGTGTATATATATATATACCAAATATTGTTTTACAACATGACAAAATTTTGAAACCTAGCATTGATGGCAATTTCCATAATAAATATACCATGGTTATTTTTAATGGTGTACCATTTTGAGGTTGAACATCTGTTTCTATCTTAAGTTTGCTGAGGTAACCCTTGGCTTTGCCCATCCTCCCTTGGGGAGGCTATCAACTTCATAAAAATATACTAGCTTTATTTTTGTCTGCTTACTATCAAAACTTATGGGATCTGCCCTAATTTAGCTAAATTTGATCTTAGTGGAGAATATTCCTTAAACTCTTTCTCTAGTTCTTTTCAAAGGCTCAATTTCAGGAAATAATGTATAGAATATTTATGAGTATTCCATGTATTCCCCTAGAATATAGATCAGGATTGTAAATTACAGGCTAGCTGCCTGTGTTTTTGAATAAAGTTTTATTGATACACAGCATGCCCACTCGCTTGCATGTCGTCTATGGCTGCTTTCATTGCAATGGCAGCGTTTAGTAGCCACCACAGAGACCAGTGGCTCCTCAGCTAGCTTGTCAGTTCTTAATCATAGTTCCACCTTCCCCTGTCCTCTGAGGAACCAGTAGATGGGCTTAAACATTCTGTGAAAAGCCTGAAATTTTATGCAGAACTACATGTACATCTGTGTACCATGTGTTTTCCTGGAGGGAGGATCTGTGACTTTTATAAGATGACAAAGGGACCCAAGCCCCCAAATGATCAACTTTGTTCTAAGTAGCCAAAATGCTAATTTTCTGTGTTACTCTAGATCAGCAGGTCTCAGACTTTTTAGTCCCAGTTCCTCTATGCACTTTAAAAAATTATTGGGACTCCAAATATCTTTTGTTTATGTGGATAGTAGCCATCGGTATGTACCATATTAGACATTAAAATGGACCCTAGCAGGTGTGGCTCAGTGGCTTGAGTGCTGGCCTACGAACCAAAGGGTCACTGGTTGGATTCCCAGTGAGGGCACATGTCTGGGTTGCGGGCCAGGTCCCCAGTAGGGGGTGCTCGAGAGGCAGCCACACATTGATATTTCTCTCCCTCTCTCCCTTCCTTCCCCTCTCTCTAAAAATAAAATCTTTTTTAAAACAAAGAAATTAAAATGGAAAGTTTAAAAATATTTATATACTTATAATAATAAACCCATTGCATATTTACATTACATTACATTTTTGCAGATATCTTTAATGTCTAGCTTAATAAAAGGTAGGTTCTCAGATGTTCTGTGTTCACTCTGCTGTGATCTCACAAGTTGTATAGCCTCTGGCAGCCTCTCCGGTACACCAATGAGAATGAGAAAGGCAGAGAGTGGCTTGGAATCATTATGGAGATTGTTTGGTCATGATGGAGCCCCTGAAAGGTCTCAGGACCCTGGGGTCCCCAGACCATGCTTGGAGAGCAGTGTATTTGGACTGCATTGTCTATGTTCCTGCTGAATTATACTATGCTATTTTGGTATCAGCGTGCATGGAGGGATACCTTAAAGAAAAGCTCTGGGAGCCTTGCTCTGCTGCTTATTGCTGGCATCTGCGAGAGCAGTCAGTCTAGTACGAAGGGGACGTTGCACATTGCCCTTCCATGAGCGGCCGGAGGAGACGCTTCCTTCGGGTTTCAGTGCCAGGAGGAGCTGTGCCACTTCGGGGCCACTGGTAGGTTTTAAAGTCTTATAAAAGCAGATTTTCCAAACTAGGCCTGTTTTTTCCCTGCTTTGGCAACTGGGAAGCTCGGAGCCTAATTTTCAGCTAACTTTCAGCTCTTGTTTGTGGTATGCGTGTCTGTATCTTATCCTTGGCTGGCTAATTTTCCTTTTCCCTCCTCTCAATTTCTTCATCTATATCCTGTTCTCCATTTACATAGTTTTGTAAATTATATTTTATTTTGGGTTTCTCTAAATTGTCTCATCTTTTTTTTGTTAAACAAGATTGAATATAAATTCTTGTAAGTAAAATTTCCCCCTTACATTATATGTGAAGCCTTAGTATCTAGTAGATTGAGTCCATTTTGATGTATAGAAATTAGTAAATCACTTTTATTTCTGGTGTCATTTTCATCAAGTTACCCTAGATAAATAGAAACTTTACTATCCTATATCTGGAAGTTAAGATGTATTTTGTTTCATTATATACTATATATAGTACAGTTACTTGGCAGTTTTGTTATTTGCTACCTACCGACAGCCTCTGCCCTATTTTTCTATTTTATTTCTGTCTCATGTGCACAGACATTCTTGCTATTAGTATCATATTCATTTAGTTGTGACAGGCTTTTTGTACCTGCTTTTGGAACTTCTGTAAATTATTTTTAACACTATGCTTAATTATATGTGTATGTTTTCATCTGTGTGCTTCTGCTGATTTTAAACTGGGAAAAACTTTAAAAGATGTTTCCAAACTGGGAAACCTTCCTCCTGTTCATTAAAGCCTGAAATTAATTGAAGCCAAAGAGAACCTTATAGGTGGGCGGCAATGATATGCTCAGACCTTGGGTCACACACCCAGCCTTACTTCATCAGGGGGCTACATGTGTGTCTAAAGAGGGATTTTACGGAGACTTAGGAAAAAATGTACTTCATGCAAATTGAACTGGGTAGAGATCAAAATGTGTTTTGTGTAAAATATTGAGTCTCATAATTTTTTGAAGATTAGCCTTTGCATATTTGTTGCTATATAGATGCTGTCGTTTCAATTTTCAGAAGACTGTGCAGTCTTTTTAACTGATGAAGAACAAGCCTTTGTCTTCCTGTAATTCTGAAGTGAAGTTGAGTCACCCAACAAGAAAAAAACTAAGTCCAGTTAAAATATAGGCATTAGTAATAGAATGCTGAAACAAACCTCTGGATTGGCTTCATTGGCTTTCCTGCTTCTTTTGCATCCCAAAGCATAAGCTTAAGTCATCTCAGAAGGACAAGGTCCGCCAGTTTATGGCATTTACTCAGGCTGGCGAAAGAACTGCCATCTACTGCTTAACACAGAATGAGTGGAAACTAGACGTGGCCACCGACAACTTCTTCCAAAACCCAGACTCCTTCCACAAGGAATCCATGAGAAACACAGTGGACAAGAAGAAGCTGGAGCAGCTGTATAACAGGTACAAAGGTAAGGGTGACAGTGACGACAAGGGCAGGTGGTGGAGAACTTGCTTCCATCTCTAGGGAATGTAACAGAATCAGTGTTCCATTTCTTGAATTCCTGATGGTGTGTTCAAAAGACCTCCAAAATGCTGTTCCTACTCTTCCTGATATGCAGCTGCAAAATCCAACAGTTAAATGGAACCGTGACTATTAATCAATATAGAGGAGGGGTGGGATGAGAAGAGAGGGGTCTAAAGTCTGATTGGCAGTCAGTTCTTGTCACTGGGATTGCCAGTGGCAGGGGAGCCCTCAGTGGCATAGTGTCGTGGCCAGGTGGCTACACCTGTGAATACAGTGTTTTTGCTCCAAGCAGTTCCATCGAGGCTGTGATATTGGTAGTGAGAAAGTTGTTTAAGAACAGTACCAAATCATAAAAAATACTTCTGACACACCAGTAAAAGCCAGCCCTCTCTTATGACAGTGTAGTGGTGTTGGAACTCTGAAACAGCTTCAGTTCTTGCATGAGCTTTGGGACAACCTCTCACTAAAGAAAACTTTGTGTTGGACATTGGGGACGATTGTTATTTTTACTGAAATCAGCACCTGGAAGGGAGCTTTCCATATCAAAATAGGGTCATACTGCAAAAATCAGTCTGCATGATGAAGGGGTACAGGTTCAAATCACTCACCAGGCTTTCACATTTCATATCGGACGCCAAGTCTACGCTGTAATGGGAGAGGCAGCAAGATTTAGAGTTGCCTGAGTTGATTTATTTTTTTCTAAAAGTTTCTAAGGCTAATCTTTATATTTCCAAAACTTTAAAAAAAAAAAAAACTTATTTAAACAAGTATTAACTCAAACAGAATAACTCCCTTGGCTTTAAAGTCTTGTTTATTATTTTCATGTTTTACTTTTTTAATCTGTCTTTTTAGATCTGAAGCATAGATTGAAAATTGCATCCTTTTTTTAAAAAAAAATCTTGGTTCAGAAACATATTCTACGGTTAAAAAAAGATTTGTACTGGTAGTTCTCGAAAAAGTGAACATTATTTATAATTAAGCTTTAGTGTGCTTTAAATTTTTTTGGCTAAGCCAATTGTTGAGCTAATTTTGTAAGTCATGCTATGCAGATTTTAAAAATTATTCAAATATGTGCAGCTGCCTTTGAAAAAATACTTTTATATAAGTGAAAATTGTCATTTTTTTTTAGTTTAAGCTCCATCCCTTCATTATTTAATATTATCCATGAAATTCTAGTCTCTTAAAGTAGATACATGGTAAAATCATTTTGGGTTCTAAAAATAAATATATTGTTCAAAGACTAGTCACAAATATAATGTTGCTTATTGCATTTAATATATACAAATGAATGCTTCCAACATTACTTTAAAATAATATTGTATATGAAATTCATCAAGATCGCTTATTAGATGAGAGCATTGTAGACCAATTTTTTTATTATCCTAAAAATCTGTAATGTTAAGGGCATGGAATTGAATAGAAAGGCAAGTGAGAATGTTTTACAGAACCTCTGTCCTGTGTGCCCACGACTGCGGTTGTTCTCTCACTAATACTTTTGAAATAATATAAATAAAATAGAGTTGAAAAGATAACTGTGGTTTCATTCATTTAATCATCAATCTTTCTTTAATTTATATATTTTATATCTATATTTACAGAATATATTTTTATATATAACATTTTTATTTATAGATATAAAAATGCATTATATATAACTTAAATGACCAAAATTAAAATTTGTATGACAGAAGTTTATCACTATCTTATTTAAGCAAAGGAGCTATAAGTATTCTGTTTGAACCTTCTAAACTGACAGAATTAACACATATGTTATGATCATATATTATGATGCACACAATGTGTCTGAAATTACTAGATGTAGTTTGGGGAGGCCTTGCTGGGATTCTTCTTTTAATAGATTTTACTATTTGATTTTCTAATGAGGAAATGCTAAGTTTCTTAATTTTATTTATAAACCAGATATGAAGGGCAGGAGAAGCCTGAATTTCTAAGCTATTAAACATGGATGCATAAACTGAGTGATTTGAAAATAAGTATTGTACAGTAGCATTAGAGCTGTAGCAAATGAAATCACTTTCGAAAGAAAAACATGAATCTTTTGGTGGGGTTGTGATAAAAACTTAAAATATTATAAATGCTTTACCAATGCAGTATTTTTGTAACAATCTGCCTTTGGGCAAACTAAAATTTTGGGAACTTGAATTTTATTTTACTTTAGGGACATTAAATTTTTCTTGATGAAGTCTTCTTAAAGAAGTCTCAATGATTTTTTTTCCCACTACATCCCAGAAACCTAGACTTTAAAAATAAGAGTATTTTCTGGATAAATTATTTGTTGCTATCTTTCACATGTAGTAGATAATTGCATTCTGTCTATTGATATACTTGTAACAATCTTGTTAGAACTATGTAGCAGACGTATGATTCTAACAACCAATTTTAGTCATACTTTTCAAAATAGTATAATTCTTTTTTCCTTAATTTTAACTATAGACCCACAAGATGAAAATAAAATTGGAATTGATGGGATTCAACAGTTTTGTGATGATTTAAGCCTAGACCCTGCCAGTATCAGCGTTTTGGTTATAGCATGGAAATTCAGGGCAGCGACCCAATGTGAATTTAGCAAAAAAGAATTTGTAGATGGCATGACAGAGCTGGGGTAAGTAAATCGGTCTCAGTTTAAATTATTTTCAGAAATAAAGATACCGTCGACATTAATTCTTTTTCAGCCTGTAAATATTAATTTTGTATCAATTTATTTTTCGTGTATCTTATGAGTTTCTTATGCATCTGCACTATATTAAGACTTTGATTTCCCTTTAAATTCCTATTTAAGCTTTATTTAATAATCTTATTCAGATAATCCCATATGTACCTTATTTTCTCCTTAAAAATTTTTTTTTGTTTTAAAATGACAGTAAACATCAGGATGTTTTTGTTTGTTTTCAGCTATTTAGTTTATATCATAATACTGTATACTAAATGTGTCATTTAGTATGTTGCTATATTAAACATTAATAAAATGTCATTTTCATTTTTGCTTGTAATATTTTCTCTGTTCTACCTAGTAGGTTGGAATAAAAGCTTCATTAATAATTTAAAATGTTTCTCACTTGTCAGATAAGTCAAAGTAAACGAAAGCATATAACATAAATGTCTTTTAATCATTAAGCCTATTGAACTATTTCATGAGGTTATATAAAAGCCAACTTACTTGACTTACTGATATTCTAATATTCCAATGTTGACAACTTAAACTAGCTTTTTTTTTTTTAGTTCTTAAATGAGCTTGAAAGCCTAAGGTAAACATGCTCTTAAGGCATGTGCTTACAGCATTCAGGTTGGGGGGCAGGGAGGATAGGGCATTTGTTGTTTCCATTAAACTGATAAATCTGTTCTATCTGTCAGCCTTGTGGCAGGGGTGTTCAACCTTCTGGTGTCTCTGGGCCACATTGGAAGAAGAGTTGTCTTGGGGCACACATTAAATATATTCTGACATAATCACAAAAACATCATATAATGTTTTCAGTAAATTTACAATTTCTGTTGGGCCATATTCATAACCATCATGGGATGCATGTGGCCCCTGGGCCGCAGATTGGATACTCCTGGTAGAGGATAAACTCGAGAAGACTTTCGTTTCTAGTGTCATCTTACCATTTCCTTGTGGTTTTATAAAACCAACTAAACAAAAGGGAACATTATGACAATGGTGTAATAGCAAATTTAATGTTCTTTGTACTAGGAAAGCCCAGTAGTTTTAGAATGGGGAACAACCTATTAGAAGAAGTATTCCAAGCCCTGGCTGGTGTCACTCAATGGATTGAGTGTCAGCCTGAGAACCAAAAGGTCACTGGTTTGATTCCCTGTCAGGGCACATGCCTGGGTTGCAGGCCAGGTCCCCATTTAGGGGCGTATAAGAGGCAACCCCACATTGATGTTTGTCTTCCTCTCTTTCTCCCTCTCTTCCCCTCCCTCTAAAAATAGATAAATGAAATCTTAAAAAAATAAAAAATAAATGAAGTATTCCATGCACACAATACTAAACACTATCCCATCTGTTAAAATCTCCCCAAAACGAGAGATTTGGAAATAAGTGCTTCTTGTAGAAACATGTACTGGCCATTCCAAGGCACTGTATTCAGATATGTTGTAGAAGTAAAAATTTAAAATTCCTGACTATTATCTTATTACGTGTCATAACTCAAAAACCATACTTTAAAGATTTTGAGTGTGAGCTCCTGTGAAATGTGTTAGCCAGTTTCATGCCCTTTCATATGGAGTGTACAGAAAGTAATTGAAAATTTGGATTAAGTTAATGATTGTTAATGGTACTGCTCTCCACATCTCACAGGGCAGTTAAAGGTTAAAGCGCTTTATAAATATTAAAGTGCTATATACTAAGTGAAAGTACTATTCATGTGTTAGTAAAGTATATTGTAAAGATGACCTCAGTGCTTTTAGGGATGCAAAGAACTGTTGCCTTATAGTCTAAATAGCACTAAGCTTTAAAATATACTTTGGCTTTTGTGTCTGCTCTATTTATTTTTTGTTACACTTTTTTCCTAGCTGTTAATTACTCACTTTGGCTAGACTACCTGCCATTAGCAGTTAATCTTACATCCTTTCATTGGGCGCTTGAGGATCCTTACGTAGGCTGAGTAGACTTTATGAAATACTTTGACATCTTTGTAAAAACAAAAAATTGACTGTATGTGTGGCTCTATTTCTGGGCTCTCTATTGTAGTTCATGGGTCTGTTTATCTGTCCTCACGCTTTGAGTTTAACCAGATTGCAGGACACAAGGTCAGCAAACAAAACGTGATGTTATTTCAAAATGCTGAATGCAACAGTGCAACAAAACAAAGTGAATTCTAAATATATGTCATTTCCAGTAGCATCAAAAATACAAAACACCTAGGATAAATCTAATTAAATATGTGTGCTACCTCCATAGAGAAAACAACTCACTGAGAGACAGAAAACCTGGAGAAATGGAGAAATATACCTCATTTTTAGGTTGGAATTTTTAGTGTTTGATCCCACATTTTTCTGTACATTTAATCTGATCTCAACTGAAACCCTAATAAGTAGTAGGTTTATGTATGTGTAATTTGACAAGCTGATTTTAAATTTATATGAATATGCACAGTCAAGAATAGCTAACAATTCTTAAAGAAAAAAAGAATGAAGAAGATTTGTTCTACCAGATACTCAGGACTTTTCAAATAATAGTAACTAAGACTATATTGAGTATCAGAATAGGTAAAGAGACCCGTGGAACAGAATGGAGGGCCCAGAAACACCCCGTGTATACAGGTGCATTTGATTTATGGCAGAGGCAGCACTTTAGGAAAGTGGAAGAAGGACATCTTTTCAGTAAATGATCCTGGAGAACTGGCATATGGGGAAAAAACTCATCTTGACCCCTACCTCACACCGTACATAAAAATCAGTTCTAAGTGGATTGTAGATCTCTATGTGAAAGGGTAAGACAGAAGCCCCTAGAAAATAGTGAAGGGGAATATCTTTATGATCATGCAGTAGGAAAAGTTTTAAAGTATCACCAAGAAAACACTATGAAGAAGATTGATAGAATGTACTATACTAAAAATAACATCATTAAGAAACACCATCAAGGAAGTGAAAAGGCAGCTCATATTCTGAAGTACTTGAAAAGTACTTAACTGACAAAGGCTTGTATCCCTAAGATATAAAAAAATTCCTATATAACAATAAGAAAAAGATAGTCTAATTGAAAATGGGCAGGAGACTTGAGCAGGCATTTCACAAAAGAGAATTTCTAAATGGCCAATGAAAATAAAAGAATATGTTTAATTTCCTTCATTGGGGAAGTGCAAATAAAAACTACAGTGAGCCCTGGATGGTGTGGCTCAGTGGATTGAGCACTGGCCTGCAAACCAAAAGGTTGACAGTTTGATTCCCTGTCAGTGCACATTCCTGGGTTGTGGGCCAGGTCCCCAGTTGGGGGCGTGCAAGAGGTCTAATGGATTGATGTTTCTCTCACACATCGAGGTTTCTCTCACTCTCTTTCGCCCTCCCTTCTCCTCTTTCTGAAAATAAATAAGTAAAATCGTTAAAAGAAAAACTGCAGTGAAATAGAACCTCACAACCCACTCTCTAGAAGGGCTAAATAAGACACAGTCACAAATGCTGGTGAAAGTGTGAGGCACCTGGAACTCCAGTGTACTGCTGGTGGGAGTGTGAAGTGGGGCGATCACATTGGGTGACTGATATTCCTTACCAGATCGAAGGTGCTCAGCCCCTCTGACCCAGCTGTTCTGCTCTTGGGTGTTCCCAACATAACACATGGATGCGTGTGCCAAGATACATGTACAGAAACATTTCTGACAACGTTCTTTGTAACCAGAAAACTAGAAACAGCCAAAATATTTCTCATCAATAGAATATATAAATTACAAAAAACCCCGAATATAATGGAATGCTATATGGCATTGAACATGAACCAACCACAGCCACACATACCAACATAAATAAACCTCACAGACGTAATGTTGACACAGAAAGCCAGACCAAATAACACACATGGTAAGTTCCCACTTAAAAAGTTCAGAAACAGGAATAACTAACTCGTGCTGTCAAATAGTGCCTGTTGGAGTGAGGGAGGCATAAAGAAAAGCAGGGACGTGACCACATGGAGGAAAGACGTTGTGACAGGGCAGGGCATGCGGCCACTCCCAAGGTGCTGCTGTCTGCCGGTTCTTGATGTGGGCGGCTGCACTCAGGAGCACCCATGGCAGTCCTTGAAGCTCTGCATTTGTGTTTCTGCATGTGCTCGTGGACTTGTTGGTCTGTGGTTGGCTCTGGCCACTCCAGGACTCTCTCCATTGTCTTTCCTCAGCCCTGCCCTCCTCGGGTGCCTGGATAACTGAAGTGTTGCTTTTGTTCTCTTCTTTGCTGTGCAGTCAAAATAAAAATGACAAATTTTATGTTTTGCTCTTCTAGATGCTCCTTTTTTAAAAAAAGATTTTACTTATTTTTAGAGAGAGGGGAAGGGATGGAGAAAGAGGGAGAGAAACATTGATGTGTGAAAGATACATCAATGAGTTGCCTCTCGTACACCCTTAATAGTGAACCTGGCTGGCAACCCAGGCATGTGCCAGGTACATGGCCAGCATCCCAGGCATGTGACTTTTTGGTTCGCAGACTGGCACTCAATCCACTGAGCCACACCAGCCAGGGCTAGATTCTGCTTTAAAGGCTTTTTATAGTTTTAAATGTTACTGATTTTGGAGGACAACTCAATTTTAAAACAATAGAGTTGTGTCTTATTACACTTGGATATTTTACATCTAACCTGCTGTAATGAAGAAACCCCTAGATACAGTAGCTCAGGGCTCCAGGTTCATCTTGCTGTTGTAAGACAGTACAGGGGTAGCAGTGGCATGGCTGGCAGAGTAACACAGTTCTCCAAGGTCACTGAGGCAGTGGAGTCTTGTCACTCTCTCATCTCAGGTCATTGGCCTCTGTGGTATCAAAGCTATAGCGTTAAACCATGTTTATATTCCATGTGCTCCATGTGCTCATATTCCAGTTCACACAGAGGAGAGCAAACAATTTTGGCTTTTGATTTTTTACTTTGAATGACAGCTTTATTAAAATATAATGCACATGCCACACAATTCACTGATTTACAGTGTGCAAATTAGCGGTGGCAGTGTATTCGCAGAGCTGTGCAGCCATCACCACAGTCAGTTTGAGAGCATTTCAAGGCTTTTTAGCTAGAGAAAGGGGCCCACGAGAATTCCACCTACCCATCCCCCTTAGACCCACGCCTTAGGCCGCACCAAATCACTGCGAAGCTGAGAACTGCCCAGGCCTGGGGAGGCCTGTCTGCTGCCATTAACAAAGCATTGTCTCTGTCTCTTGTCACAGGTGTGACAGCACAGAAAAGCTGAAAGCTCTTCTGCCAAGACTGGAACAGGAGCTTAAGGACACCGCGAAGTTTAAGGATTTCTATCAGTTTACTTTTACCTTTGCTAAGAACCCTGGGCAAAAAGGTCTAGGTGAGTATAAAACCCAAATTTGCAAGGAGCCACATCTTATGACACTGTAAGGAGGCATGATCAACAAGATTTCAGTCCTGCCTACTGTTATTATCCCTCTTTGCGCTCTTTTTCTTTCCACTGACTTAACTCCACGTGCAGGTAGGCCAGTTCATAGTACCATATACTTGAACACCTCAACCAATATCACTCTCAGATTCTGGGTTTAAATATTTAAAGTTTAAAGTGTAAATGAATTTGCAAATGCTCCATGTGCTCTCATATTGATGTGTAATTGACTAATGAGTTAGAGAGGTCGGCAGTTAACGTTGACAGTCAGCATGCTTGTCCTGGCTAGGTGTGCGACCCTGCCGATGGTGTTGCTGAGTTACCAGGTGACGCCAATCTTGTCCGATCTGGAGGTTTAAAGTTAACGTACTTGAAACCAATTCTGATGTGTGTTGGATTACTTTAGTGCAGGCATACCTCGTTCACTGTGCTTCACAGATACTGTGTTTTCATCAACATTGAGGCACGACCCTCCACCAGCAAAAAAGATTACAGCTCTCTGAAGGTTCAGATGATAGTTAGCATTTTTTAGCAATAAAGTATTTTTAAAGTATGTATGTTGTTTTTTTAGACATAATGCTATTGCACATTTAATAGACTATAGTATAGGTGTGAATATAAATTTTATAGGCACCGGAAAACGAAACATTTGTGTGACTGATTTCGTTGTGATAGCTACCTGACTGCGGTAGCCTGGAACGGAGCCCACGGTGTCTCCGATGTGCGCCTGCACATCCTTCAGAGTTGTATGATTTTGTTATAATATGACTTCGGTCTTACTGTGTATGTTACATTTGGAAGATTTTTAACCTAAAATTTTTGTTTGAATTTTTGGTTTATATGAGGGTTTTATATTGCTTATTTTCATTTGGTTTGCGCCTAAGTACTATACAGTTTATTTTTATTTTATCTCTTTGTAAAAATAAATCAGTATTGACCTATATTTTGCTGGCTAATGTAACAGATTTATTTATGTTTAATTCATTAAAATCTGCCTTCTTACAAGTTTGAGGGGGTTACATATTCTTTTTACAGGGATTAAACAGGTATATTAGAAAGTACATTTTGAAGAAAAGTTCTTATAAATAAAAGCAATTATTATAAGATGACCAAAATTAGGTAGGAAACATGAAAGGGGCTTGAAAATTTGTAGATAGAAAAATCCACAGCAAGCATTTGGTTTCAGATCCTGACTTCACTCATGCATGTTTGCAGGTGTGTGTGTGCACTAGATGGTCTCTGTCTTTCTGACTTCCTTTCGTTCCTTCTCCTAGCAAAAGATCAAATGCAGGTACAGACTGAGGCAGCAGGCACTTCGGTCCTTCCATCAGGGAGGTGGGCAGTAGGCACTTCTGCCGCAGCCCAGGGAGGTGGCAGGAGGCTTTTCTGTCTCAGATCAGGAAGACAGGCAGCTGTCTTTTCCTAAGCACCATTTCCTACTTCCCATGGCAGGGAATGTTTTCTTCTCTTTCTTTTCTCCGGGGTTGTGGGGTCCATTTTACTGTCGGTGCATTGCACTGTGATGAGTCTTCCGTCAGTATCCGTCTCTCTAAGCTGGCCACCATGTGAATGGGTTTCTCGCCCTGCATGCCACCTCACAGGTCATGCACCTGCCCCCTCAGGACCTGAAAAGGGCCTCTACCGCTAGGGTCCTATTCAGGAACTTGGAACCTCAGAAGGTGGGAATGGGAGAATCACTGGGAAAATAGGAAGGTAGTTTTTCCTACTCAAGGAAGCAGGTAAGCAAAAAGAGGCTGTCAGTTGCATGAAGCCACAGCAGCGAGGTGTTTCTGACATCACAGGGCTTTGTACATTCCCCACTTTGTCATGAGTCAGAGGGCCGATGTCATGGAAGATATTTCTGGGACCCATGGGAAGAGATGGTTCTGACACATCTGTTTGTGAAGAAAAGTATTGATTTCCTGTTTGGCCTGATGTCAGTGAGGGATCTGTTTTCGTAACCAAGTGCACAGAGTGAAAGGAAAGCGTCCACAGCAGCACCGGGATGATGGCTGAACGTGAGCAGTGAGAAGCAGCAGGAGCTGGGTTCCGTCTGTTCTCACCCCGTCCTAGAGACCAACGCATGGTCCACCGGCTGCGATAAGGGGGCCTCGAGACCGCTGCAGGCATGAGCCCTGACTTGCCCCTGGCCTCTCTGTGGCTCAGCAGGGCGTCGCCTGGAGAAGAGCTTGCCAGATGCTTCCAGAAGGACCACAGGGAGGCAAGGTTCTGAGGCATTGGTAGCAGGGACCTGGTTAAAGTAGAATTCCAGATAATTCCAGTTTATTAGTGCAGAGTGGAGAGTTGGACTCGTGGTCTTATAGTCTTGGGAAAATTAAAATATTTGGCATACTTTAAAAAGAAATAATCGTACAGTGAGGATAAAATTGAAGTGGAATGATAGCACGTCACGCCAGCGGTGCTGCCTCAGCCCTGGACACACTGGTCTCTCTCTGTATCTTCTCTGCCACTCAGATGTCCAAACCCAAGACTGACAGTCAGTGTGGTTTTCGTTTGTAGGTGGTGGCTTTCATTTTTTCCCTTATTCCCAGAAAGAGAGGCAGGAACTAGCATTTATGAAGCACATATGATGTGGCAGGCAGGTACCTTCATCTAATTAACATGTGGCCTTACACCCATTTTATGAACTGGGAAGCTGTGGCTAAGACACAGAAGGACTTGTTGGAGCAATGAGCACAGGCTGTGGCAGCGGGGTTTGGAGCCCACGCTCGCCTGTCCCGTGTGTTCACACCTCCCTGATGGGCTGCCTGACGTGGGCCGAGGGCGAGAACCAGGGCCCGGGTGCGCTAGGAGTCTGCGGGGGCGGGGGGCAATGACGTGGCGCCCAGCCCCGCCGTCCCGCTGTCAGGCCCTGCAGGGGATGTTGGATGATCGAACTAGGGTCAGGTCTGCCTGCTGGTCGCTCTGCTTGCCTTGGCACTGCCTTCCTTCTAGGGCTTTCTCCTCCGAGCCTGGCTGGCCCTTGTCCCCCAGGGCCCTCGTCCCCCAGAGCCCTCATATTCTCAGATCACTCCAGGATTCACCTTTAACCATCTCTGTGCCAACGTATTTCCCATTCTACCTACATTTGCATTTCATATTACTTGGTTTCAATTTACTTGTTTTGTACTATGCATATATATTACATGAGCAAAATATATTACAATTTTAAAACTCCTAAAATGTTCACAGTTCTGTTTTAGCACAAATGACTTCACCTCAATTTTTAGAGCAACAAACATTGCCAAAAAACATAGTGAGTCCTGGCTGGGGTGGCTCAGTGGATCGAGCACAGACCTGCAAACCAAAAAAGCATAGTGATCTCCTCCTGTAGTGTTGCTTCATCTGGTTATATCCAGGTTGGAGCCATGTAGACGTGATGGGTTGGGTCATTCACTCTGGCATGTGGGCAGAAAAAGCTTTCTCACTCTCTGAAAGCTGCTGAAGCGTGTCCTGACTGAGGACATATGACCTGGTGTGTGAGCTGCAGTGTGTCCTGACTGAGGACACGTCATCTGGTGTGTGAGCTGCAGCGTGTCCTGACTGAAGACACGTCATCTGGTGTGTGAGCTGCAGCGTGTCCTGACTGAGGACACGTCACCTGGTGTGTGAGCTGCAGCGTGTCCTGACTGAGGACACGTCGCCTGGTGTGTGAGCTGCTGTGTGTCCTGACTGAAGACACGTCGCCTGGTGTGTGAGCTGCTGCGTGTCCTGACAAGCAAGCGTTGCCTGGCGGTCCGGCCCCGCGGTTTGCCAGATTTGAAGGCTTGAGTGTCATTCTCACTAGGAGATGTTGTGACTTTGGTCAGAGTAGCTATGGCAATCAGTTGTTAAGAGCATTGTCTTGCCTTGTATGTGGTGCTATTATGAAGACATCAGCCTATGAACTTTGTTCTCACAGTGATAAAATAGATGATCAGGAGACCAGTTACCAAGTTCAACCCCTGACTTCCCTGCCTCACCCCAACTGAAAATGACTCCCTTTACATTCTCTAGGCCTTGCTCCCCGATGACACTTCCAACCTCAGCTTTATTTATTTATTTTTTTAAATTCGATCTATTGTAGCTCCATTCTTTTCAACTGCAAAGCTTATTTTCTCTTCAGGAATCTTACAAATGCCTGGAGGAAGCATACCTTAACTGTCATTTCCACTACAGCAAGGATTTAGTCGCTGCCATTGAAGCAGATTGGCATTCAAGATGTGCAGTGAACCTCTGAGGGAGGGGCCTCCCTGAAAGGGGGATCAGGACACGTGGGAGGCGTAGGGAGTGCCGGAAACTTAGCCTTGTCCTAGGCTGCGCTGTGGTGCCTTCCATCTTGGGTTAGCAGCTCTTAGGTTACCAGCCCCTGGTTTATATAATGGTGTAAGAGTGTTTTCTCTTTTAATTATGTTGGGAAAACTACAAAAAATGTATAAAATGTTATTAGCTCTGTGCTGACGGACAGAGTGGTTGTTCACGTGGAGGTGAAGAGCTCGCATCATGCTGTGTTACGTGGGGGTGGCGGTCGGCATTGAGTCCAGCGGCCTGAGTCCAGCCAGTCACTTTCTCCCAAACCCTTTTCATCTCTACTTTGTTTCTGATTAAAAACTGTCCTCATTTTTCACCTTTCTCTTTCTCTTGTTGAGTTTATTTGCTCTTGCATTATTTGTAGTTTAAGTATTTCTGAAATAATAATTTTTCATTTCTCATTCTTGGGTTTTGTCACCTTGTTTCTGAGTTTTTCTAATTCTGATATATGTTCTTTCATGTTTTGTGTCATTTCTTAATGTCTTTTCGCTTGTTTTGAAATGGGAGGTCACAATTTTGATCTGTATTGGAATGTTTCCTGGGATGCATACGTTCTCTAGGGATGATGTTCTGTTCATATTATCTTTTTCCTTAGGATGGTATTATAAGGGATTTGATCTCAGTGCTTTCTTCTTGCTCCCATTCATGTGAAAGTAGCTTTC